AGCTCCCTCACCCAGCCGCGCCGATCAGCTGAGCGCCGCCGGGCTTTGAGGCGCTCGCTCCGGGCCACGCGCCGCTGCCCATTGGCCGCCGCGGCGCCCCGCCCACACGGCGCCCGAGTGCCGCGCCGGCTGGCTGCCGCGCCCTGTCACTCAGCCGGCGGGGCTCCGCCTCCCCTTTCATCCCGGGCCTTTCGCTTTGCTGCCCCGGGTTCTAGGGCGTGTGGATATTCTTTGCTTGGCGCTGCCCGCCCGCCTCGTTTCTTTCTTTCTTCTTTTCTTTCCTTTTTTTACGAGCTCGTTCCCGTCCCTTTTGACTTGCTTCGCTTCTGCGCTTCCCTCTCCTCCTCCTCCTCCTCCTCCTCCGCCTGTTTACTGGCTTCGCGCGAGGAGACAGAGGGAGAAAGAGAGGCCTCTGTGTTAAGCTGATGCGCATCGGAGGGGGTTATTTTTGAAGAAAAGTACAGCGTGATTGATTTGTGCGTACAGAATCCTTTTCCTCCCATTACTCCCTTCCCCGTTGTACGAGTAAAGAGTGTGACACATTGCCAAAAAAAAAAAAAAAAAATGGGGAAACAAAACACAACAAAAAACTCAGTTTAGGCATCCTCTCTTGCATACACAGAGCAGCCTTCTCCAACCTGGGCCCCTCCAGATGTGCTGGACTACAACATCTGGAGGGGCCCCGTTGGGAAAGGCTGCGATAAGAGGCAAGCTGGATTCCTGGGTAGCTTTTCTCCTCCTTTCCTCTGCAGCTCGATGCATGCAGTTCCTTCCCCCAGACACCCTGGGGTGGCTCAACCCACCTTGAATGTGGGTGGTTGTCTGAACCCAGCTGGGATAACAGACTGTGGAGAACAACCCACGGTTCACAGCCCATCAGCAGCCAGAGGTTCTCTCTGTGTGTTCTCCGTGGTGAACAAGCTGTGGGTGGTTAGTGCAGCAGAAGAACCCGCATTTCAACAGGAACCCTTGTGGAACTGTGCCGGTTGGTCTCAGTCCACGCAGATTCTTCACTACCGCAAATCTGCTGCTGCAGGGAAGTGCAGATTCCGTCCTTCAGGGATTGCTCAACCGCTCCTCCGCCTTTTCTCCCATCCTGTTAACCCCACTCGCTAACAGCTGCCATCTGGCTTTGGGTATCATCCTGCCCCGTAAAGACATCTGAAGATCTTGAAAGCTTGTATGGGTTTTGGTGATCTTTTGAGCCGGCCTACTAAAGCGACTATGGACAGCATAGCTTTTCTTACATTTATATGTCCTTCAGGTATTATTAAACTGTATCAGTGTTGGATTTTTCCCCTTGCTGCCAACCGGGGCCTCTTTGCTTTTTCCTTCAAGCTTCCAGGGCCCTTCAAAATGCAGCAATTCTAGAATTGCTACTGAGTTCCTGAAGTCTGGACTGCTAAACCAAACACTTCTGAAACAGGGGACTTGTCTAAAGCAAAACTGGGAAAACACAGTATTGGAGAAGCTGCTTGTGTTTGCAGAGTTCTGTAATGGCACAAGCCCTCCCAAAAGGTTTAGTGGTGGCCGGCACCTGGGATGCACCGCTAAGGAAGAGGAGATAGCTTTCTGGAAGACAGTGCTAGATGGATGAGTGACTCTTGTTCTTCGTTACTGTTTTCTGGTGTTACTGTGAGTGGAAAGATCTGCCAATGGAGTTACATGTCCTGGGAGTCAGTTCTGGGGGTTGAATGGAGTGGCTCTCCTTTCCAAAGAATATGGATGCAATCAATTGTGAAGGGCAGGGGGAAACATTTGATGTTGCTTCCTCCTGCAGTGTTGGCCAGTGGGACCAAGCGCCCACGGAGTTTGTGAAGGCTTCTGGAAAAAGAAGGCAGGGATCTGGGGGCTTAGGCTGGACTTTAATGACGTGATGGCGAACCTTTTTGACAAAGGTGCCGCGGGTCAAGTGCAGCACCCAAAGCAGCAGCTCCCGGACTTTCTGCAAGCATCGGAAGATGCTGAGCGAGTGGCTGAGGCAGCAGTGCATTGTGGGAGAAAGAAATGTTCACCCGAGCTAAGCATGAGGAAGGCAAATGTGAAAAAAATGAATAAATAAAATAAAGAAGGCAAATATGAAAAATAAATCAGAATAAATATTTTTGCATGAAAAATAAAAGGATAATTCACCCAGTACCACAAGCTCTTCACTTCCACTCACTGATTTTGTCCTCACAACAACCCTGCAAGGTAGGTTAGACTGAGCTGCAGCGGTTGGCCCAAAGTCACCCAGTCAGCTTCACTGCAGCAAGGATCAGAAGCTGGGTTTCCCCAGCTCCAGTCTGGCCTCCTTAGCACTGATCTTCTGCCTAACATAAGCACATTCGCAGAGAGTCATTGTGGTGCCACACTGAGAATCACCCACACATTGTACTCTGCAGGCAATGAGGACTGGAAACTTGCCCTGCTGGCGCCCGTTTCCAAGTGGCGCGATCAGGGAAGCCTCTCAGCCCGGCCTGCGTGAGCTGCGTGTGGGCAGCCTCAGCAGAGCATTACGCCATCAGCTCAGGCTGCTGGTTAATTTTTTACACTGCTTGTGGTTACCAAAATTTTAGGTACCTTCCAGACGTTAAAATAACATTGGGAAGGGGGTGGGGGCAGAAAAAGAAAATAATAACCTTTCCTCCAAGCAAACAGTTCAACAACCCTCAGTTAAAAGTAAAGAAAAACACACTCCTGAATAGATTGATTGTTTGCTCATCTTATCTGCAGATAAGTGCTTCAGGTAGTTCTCTTTTTTCTGGCAAGATGTTGAAAAATGCCCAGAAATTCCCTGGTGGGCCTAGAGATGCGTCAGCAGTCCGTGGACTTTTTTGCCGGTTCTACCACCAAGTTGCCTTTCCAAAGAGACTGGCCAGAACTGGGACGCGCAGGGAGGTTTCAGCCCCAAGTAAGCAGCAGAGCTTACTTCTGAGTAGACATCCGCTGCAGTGCGTGGGATGATCAAGTTTAGGGTGTGAAAAGGTTGCAGATGAGGCAGGTCCTGTTAGCCTATGAGAAGCGGTATGAGGTAGGATCGGTGGATCCTGTGTTCGGATCCGCGGTTGGCCATGGTGTCTTTCGATCCTTCAGCAACCCTCAGCCTTGCCTACCTCGCAGGGCTGCTATGAGGATAAAATGTGGGGAGGCTAGGCGAGAAGACCACAAATACTGTCCGGCGCCCTTCGGAAGAAAGGCGGAGTGCATCCCTCACAAATAAAGTGCCTGAAGGCAATACAACTGGTAATAGACTGAACATGAGGGTGTTTTCGGTGTTGCCTCCCTTCTTCCTGAGAAGTACCAATCCTGACAGCTTTTCACTACTGTGTAAACCCCCTTTTATTTAACTCTTAGTTCTGTTCTGATTTGGCTTTTGTATGCTGTGCTGCTACCTACTGTATTAAAAAAATAGGTGCACCAAGAAAAGCTGGATTTTGCAATGAGTATACATTTTGCAAAGTCAAACTGGAGTTTTTAGTTTGCATAATTCATTCTGGATCTGCGAGCTTCCTAAGGAACACAAGAACAACCATTAAACTTCATAGTCAGCAACTTGGTCTGGCATCATAAATCTGTGTAGAGGTTGTTCACGCATTTGAAAGCATATTTCCCAACCCCAGGGGCTAGAAACTTGCCTGTTGTTTTTAAATAAAAGCTGATCTTTCTAGCAAGCTGGAATAATGGGCCTGCTACCACATGCTGTATATTTTGTGTATGAGTGATTCCGTGGAAATACAGCTCATAGCCAGCCTTGCAGATAGCTGCATATGATTTCCTCAATTCGTAATGTTTGCCTGTCTCCTGCCATTTATTTCTCCACTCTTGAAAATTAATTTGCATAACTATTGGGGGTAGGTCCTCTGTTTTGCGAGGTTGCTTAGTCAAGCACTGTGACCATAAATGCCATCATGATTATGCAAAGCTATTCGTTTTATTTTTCTGGTGTTCTCCCCTGTATAGACTTACTTCCGTGCTTTCCCTGCAAAACCTTTTTTTAAAAAAGCAGACATGCTTATGGACTAGCAGAGTGCTTTGCCCCTTGAGGATAACTTTTTTAAATTGAAAAAAATCCCCAGTCATGATCCAGAGAAAATGGGATGGGGTGTGGCGTGAAGCGATGTGCGAAACAATGCTCAAAATGATGCTCAGTCTGTGTTGTTAAGAGGCATCTTTGCCAGGGGGTTGAAAAACGCTTCCTGGCTGGCTCTTTTAGGGCCAGTGCAGACGTAATGCTGACTCTTTCTTTAAGCCACTAAGAAATCATGCACACTTCTCCATGTGAGGATGCTCCAGCCTGGCTCCTCCCTCCTCTAGAGTGACCCCCCTTCCTGCTTTTAACTGTGATTCGTGGGCTCAAGTGTCAATTAACCGGCTATAAAGTGATGCATTTATCATCTCTATGCATTTTTCCGGCATGCTGCTACCGATCTGCAGGGCTCTGCTCGAAACGGGAGCAAGATCCATTTAATTTTATGCTCTGATCCCCCAGCGAGAAGTACTTGGGCGGATGAAGCGATGCCACCGGCTGTCCTCTCCTCGCTCTTGCTGTCATGGGCTCTGTGCATGTCTGCAGAAGAGGCCGTTCCAGAGCAAAGCTCTCAGGAGGACTTCGGTGGCTTGCAAGCATCTAAAGCCTCTCTGGTTTATTTTCAAAGGGACAGTGAGTATTTTCACAATATGTACTTTTATTACCTTTGCTTAGTAGATTTTGTCAGCGAGGGAAGGGAAAGGAAGGAAGAGAAAGAGAAAGGTGCAGCAGTTGGAGGTGCCGGCTAAGCCAGGGTCTGGGGGGTCGTTTCTGCTGGCAAAGAGCAGCAGGTGATAACCTGGGGGTGGATCTGAAGAGGCCCCAAAAGGTTGCGCTTGGCAGCGTCCAAAGACCCAAAGGCTGTTGAGGGAAACCAAAGTCACGAGCGACAGCCGCTCCGGAAAAGGATGTGTGTGGAATGTATTTGTTTTGATTTTTGTAAGCTGCCCTGAGATTCCTTTGTGTGTTGTTGTTGTTGTTAGTCACAAAGTCGTGTCCGACCCATCGCGACCCCATGGACCACATTCCTCCAGGCCTTCTCGTCCTCCACCATCCCCAGAGTCCACCCAAGCCCACACCCACCGCCCCAGTGACCCCATCCAGCCCCCTCATCCTCTGCCGTCCCCTCCTTTTGCCATCTATTGTTCCCAGCATCAGGCTCTTCTGCAGGGAGTCCTTCCTTCTCATTAGATGGCCAAAGTATTTGAGCTTCATCTTCAGGATCTGGCCTTCTAAAGAGCAGCCAGGGTTGATCTCCTCTAGGACTGACCGGTTTGATCGCCTTGCGGTCCAAGGGACTCGCAGGAGTCTCCTCCAGCACCACAATTCAAAGGCCCCAATCCTTTGGTGCTCAGCCTTCCTTATGGTCCAACTTTCACAGCCATACTTTGCAACTGGGAAAACCATCGCCTTGACTAGACGCACTTTTGTTGGCAGGGCGATGTCTCTTTTGTGTATAGGGCGGGGTATAAATATTTTAAATAAATAAATACATTTATATTTATTTATTTATTTAAAACATTTCTATGCCGCCCCCATCGCAACAAAGCCTCGGGGCGGCTCACAACAAAAACAAACAAAATCATACAAAAATTATACACTAAAAATATTATACCCTTTGCAAGGCAAATCCTGCTGTGTCTTCTTTTCGGGGTGGGCGGGGGGAGACTACTCTGTCCTAAGAGTAAGCTCACCTCTGCATTTGGTTCAGAGCTGTTGGTGCTCAGCAGCATGGAGAAGTTTGAACCACCCTGAAAGGAACAGTGTTTTGACCACAAGCTTCCGTCAAAAGTCCTGTTCCAGTTTAAAGGGCGGAAATACGGAAGGAGACACACAAGTTGCCCTGAGCCTGGTGGTCTGTGGGGCACGTGGTGGGTCATTGGGGGAGCAACCGCTCCGCTGGGGCAGGGGTGTGTCGGGAGCCCTTGTATGTGGGAGCCAAAATCCCCCAGTATACCCATCGGTCCAGAAAAGCTGGGAACCCCTGATCTAGAGGAATTTGACCACTTTGGCAGTCTTAAACATCTGGATTAATTCCTGCTCTGTGTTGTGTCTGATGAGAAACGGCTCAGGGACATCCCGGGTAGTTTGATAACCACAAAGTTCTGATTCAGGACAAAGCTTTCCACCTGGAGTGTACCTGGAGATGAGAAATCCTTCGGGGTAGCAGTTATAGGTCAGAAAGCCACTAGAGAATCATAGAATCACAGAATAGCAGAGTTGGAAGGGGCCAGAAGGCCACTGGGTCCAGCCCCCCGCTGTTGCAGGGCACCAAGTCACACCACCCCACTCAGGGGGCTGCCCAGGTTCTCCAGTGTTTGAAGACTGGGCCAGGACAGATTTGGGTGTTTGAAACTCTTTTTGAAAGTAGCCTCTCATCCAAAGATTTAGTGCCCATTTTGACTTGGCAGGTGGAATCCAATCGCCTCTGCACCTTTTCCCATCATCCATGCAAGTTCATCTTATCCTATAAACCTTCGTAAGGTTTTCTTTATCACACACCTTCCTAGTGAGCCCTGCCCTTCCGAGATTCACCGGCTGCCACAGAGCGCACACGCTCCCCTTCCTCCAGGCCAACCAAAACGATGTTGCGCTGCTGATCAGTTCTTGCGGCATGAGAATGATCATTGCGACCATAAAGTCACACAAGTCCCCTCTTCTCTTCCAGCGTCCCCTTCGGCAGAAGGGTTCCTGGAACAGCTGGAGAGCTCCACAGAAGCTCTGCGAGACTACGGCGTTTCAGTCTTAAAGGTAAGAGTTATTTTCCGATTTGCAAGCCACGCAGCAGGCTGGCCCTTTCACACGTGGAGAGGGGTTCGTTGGATTGCTACTTTGGTGTTAAGATGCCCCGGCACTGCTTAGCCCAGGGGTGCCAACCCCATTTCAGCCCGAGACCAAACTCCGTTATGGATGGGAGTCGCTTTTCGGGAGTGAGCAGGGCTGAAGGCGAAGCTGGGGGAGGCGAGCACGACTGGTTGCTCTCGCATAAAGCTCTTCTTGCCGACCTAAGCCTTGAGGGAAGCCTTTTTGAAAAACTGCCGCAAGGCTGGGAGACCGCCATGTGTTTGGGGGGAAGGCGTGGGGCAGGGGAGGTGGCCGGGGTCATCCGGGGAACCCCAGCCAGGCAGGAGGTCGCACGTCCCTGCGTTAGCCAAGTGTTGCCCCGGGGCTTCTGGAAGTGGCGTTCGAGGGTTCTCCTAATGAACGAAGAACGCCAGAATCCACCTCAGGACCAGGACCCAGCCCGTTCTTCTGGCCCAGGGCCATCTCCTCCTGCCTCCTAGCCAGTTGTTAATGGGGATGGGAGTCGTAGTCCAGCCCATCTGGAGAACTCTGCATGGGGAAGGGCAAATGGAACTGAGGTTGTGACAAACGCCAGGCCTTGGGAGCCTCCGGGTGATACAGTTCCATCCTGAGGACTAGCCCATTTCATCGGGTGCCCTTGGTTTGGCCCCAGACTTCATACATTTGTGGCTAGCATTATGCTAATGAGTGGCTTTTATACAAATTAATACATACATACATCAGCCTGGGCCATTATATCTCAGAAGCCCTCCTCTTGGAGCCTCACATTGACAAAGTGAGTCAGAAGGGACCTCCCAGGCCATCTAGTCTGACCCCTGGCTCCAGCCGGCTCTGCTCATGCAATCCCCAGCAGGTGCTTATCCAATCTTTCCTTGGACGCCTTCATGACGGGGCCCCAACCACCTCCCTAGGAAGCCCATTCCATGTCCAAGGGGTCCCAACTGTCAGGAAGGACTTCCTGGCATCCAAATTGTAGCCTGGTCCCATGAGCTTTGCTCCACTGGAACGCGTCCTGCCCTCCTGCACATGACATGCCCTCACATACCTCTGAGTCACTAGAAGATCCCCTCAGAGTCTCCCCTTCCCCATTCCCTCAATCTCTCCTCGTATGTCATCCCTCCCAACCCAGCTTCCACTCCTGTGCCCCTGCGCTGAGCCGATTCCAACCTAGCTCTGTCTCTCCTGTAATGTGGAGCCGAGAACGGGTCGTGTTACTCCAGCTCTGGGTGCACCAGAGTCGAGCAGAGCAGAATCAACACCTCCCTAGATCCGGAAGCCTCGCTTCTGGCTGTGCATCCAGGGTGGTGCGAGGTGGTGGCCACTAACCCTTTTCGTGGTGGCCTCCTAGTTGCGAAACATCCTCCCAAGCACAGGTGGGCATGCCTAGCACCTGTGTTATGCTCTCTCTTTTTGGAGGGCTTTACTTCACAGGGTCGCCATAGGTTGAAAACAACTCGATGGCACATCGCAACAACAGCGTGAACGAAAACCCTCCAGATAGTCCTGCCCGCCGTGGCTCAGCTCTTCTAAGTTCAAGGCTGTGCCTTCCTTGATCGAGTCCGTCCGTCTCCTAGTTGGCCTTCCCTTTCATGTATTTCTTTAGCTTTTTATGAAAGCCACCTATTAGCATCACCTTCTCTGGGTGCCCATTAGCATCAAAGTGCCACTAAATAGCATTAAATAAAATGGTGCGGTTAGAATATCACAATAAATAAAGAAGAAGATAGAAACACAGTCTATGCAATCAAGTGAAAATATAAATGGATATATTAAAAACCAGAACAGTCAATACAGACAGAGTGTGCTGAAAAGGAAAAGTTTTTGTTAGGTGCCTGTAGCTCCGTGGGTGCCTGGCAAAATGCGGGCGGAAGAGCGTTCCACAATGGGGTGCCACCACAGAGAAGGCCTTGCTCCTTGCAGCCTCCCCCCTCGACCTCCTTGGGGAGAGAAACTTGTGAAAGTACCTCAGTTGATGATCTTAGGCAATGGGCAGGAATATAAGGAGTAAGGCGTTCCCGAAGACAGTGTGGTCCCAAGCTATTCAGGGCTTTGTATGTCATTGCCGAAACCTTGAATCCAGCCCAGACAGGAACAGGCGGCCCGTGCAGTCGACGGGACAGGCATGATATGTGCATAAGAACTGCTCTCCATCAGCCACCACGCTGCCCTGTTCTGGATCATCTGGAGAGTCTGGACTGTCTTCAAGGGAAGCCCCATAATAGTCTAATACAGTAGTCTAGTCTGGAAGTCACCAGTGTGTGAATGACTGTAGAGGGACTGTCCTCATCCGTGTAGGAGCAGAGTTGGTCAGTCAGCCAGAACGGATAACAGGCATTCCTAGCCACTCGGTACACCTGGGCAACCAGAGAGAGCTTGGGTCCAGGAGCACCCACGGACTGCGAATCTCGTCCTTTACGGGGAGCGCAACCCCGTCCAGGACAGCTTTACAGTCTCCCAGTCGAAATGGAGGTTTGCTCACCCACACCACTTCCGGTTTAACAGAGCTGGAGCTGATTGGGCCTCATCTAGTCCACTGCCAGCACCGATTGAGGGTAGAAACCGCCATCCCTGGGGCAGATGAGAGCGAGAGGCCGTGCCGAGTGTCCTTGGCGTATCTGGATGGCCTCTCCCAGCGGTTTCATGCAGATGTTGAAAAGCACGGGGGAGAGACTCGAACCCCGCGGCACTCCGAGGCCTAAGTGCCAGGGCACAGCGCGACGACCCCCCAGCACCGCCGTCTGGAGACGGTTGGCCAGGCAGGAGCGGAGCCAGCGCAACGCGGTGCCTCCAGCTTTCCCTGGCATGGTGGTCTTCCGCAGTCCTGCCTTCTCAGGCTGTCCCAAAGTGGGCAGCCTCCGTTTTGCCATTTTGTTCCCAGGGGAAACTCTGACTTGACCAGAGTTGCCTTTCTCTGGGCTCAGGGTTTTTGCAAAGCTCTCCTCCAGCATCATGCTTTGAATGCATACATTTTCCTCTTGCCATCTTCTTTTGCCGTCCAGCTTTCACAACCATCCACTGTGATTGGGGATGCGATAGTATGAACGATCCGGGCTTTTTACATTGGTTTTTACACTGCTGCTTTACACTTTCAAGGTTTTTATTATCTTGTACGTCACGATTTGAGAACAGGAGGAGAGCCATGCTGGAGAGACTGGGGCGGCTGGGAGGGGGGGTCCATCTGTCCAGCACTCCGTTCACACAGGGGCAACCCTCTGCCCTGGAGGTAGGAGGAAGCGTCTCGCTATCGCGACGCGTAGCCATGGAAACTAATAAATGTGCCAGTCCCCTTTGCAAGCCATCGAAATCGTTGGCCATCTTTGCATCCTAGGAAAGCAAATTGCAGGGTTTTACGTCTTGTTTTGTGAATGACCCAGAGGGCCTCAGGACCGGGCAGGATGGAAATATCACAAACAAAACAAATGGAAACCATGAAGCAAAGCAGGAGAGAATTCGCAGCGCTTTGGAGAACGTAACCCTGGGAGGCTCTCATGGAGTCCACCTTCCCCTTCACAGGTAAACTGCCGCAGAGGAGAAGCATCCAGGTACTGTAAGGAGGATGGTGCTTCGGAAAAAGCATACCTGTTCAGGTAAGTGCTTCATTGGGTCGCAGGAATACAGAAATGAAGCGAAAAGAAAGCTTTGCTTCTATGCAGGAGTTCTGAGATGGAATCCAGATCTCAAGGTATCAAGTCAAAGCACCTTAGGAGGACGAGAGGGCCTTGATCCTGCTTCAAGTTGACACTGAAGTGGAGCAACGGCCCCCTCTGAATAGCGCATCGTGCCAGAAGTTCACAAGAGATCCTTCTTCGTTGATCTCAAACCTCACCGCCGTATCTCCACAGCCCTCCGGGCTCTCTCTAATCAAGAGAGAGTTAGAGACCGCTTGAGGGCCAGAACTGCCTGTCTGGAGATGCGCTCAGGTTCCTAAAAGACCCTGAGTTTGGGCAGGACGTGGAGTGCCGACGGCGTGGTCTGTGCAGCACTTCTAACTAACCACATCATGCAAAAATGGAGAGAGCTTAGCCAAAGGAAGGGGGCTTTGATTAATGCCTAAAGCTGCTGTTGGCAGCTCCCGTATGCCAAGGCGGAGGGCATCCCACCAGGTGGGCGCCACTGTGGAAAAGGCCCACATCTGGGATGCTACAGGGCCATGACCTACAGGTCCGGGCTTCCTCCAGTGGTCCCTGCAATGCTCTCAGAGCTGCCTGCTTCCGGGAGCAACCCTGGGGTCTTTTTGGCCGCGGTTCTCTTTCAGCCGGGCGTGTTGAAGAGCGGACCAGCCCTGCGGATTCCGGCGACCACTTTGCCAGGCAGGAGCGTTCCCAGAAGCCACTGGCCTCTTCCAGCCCTCGCCAGGCCAGGCCAGGCGAGAACAGTGGAGTCCGGTTGCGGTTCGTCCCCCGGCTGGGCACCCGCGGCTGTGCTAGGACAGCGGCTGGCGCTTCGGCAGGCTTCCGGCCAGCGGGGCAGGAAACTTTGCCTGGCTGGCGCTTCTGGGCGGGCAGGGAGGCTGCTCCGGGCTGCCAGCCCTGCGTCAAAGTCCTGTTGCTTCTGGATTTAGCTGGGGTCCTCCAGGAAGCTGGGAAGGAAGGAAGGAAGGAAGGAAGGAAGGAAGGAAGGAAGGAAGGAAGGAAGGAAGGGGAAGTCCTGGAAACGGGGAGCATTCCCTGTTGGGATGCAAAGTCTGTTGGGTGGGCCATGAAGACCCCTTCGCCCCCAGCAGAGATGGAAGCTTGCAGGCAGAGAGAGGACTGATTCCAGGCAAGGGCCAGTGCAGCTGATGGGCCCTGGGGAGGGGGTGACCCTGGCGGTTATTCCCTGGGAGGAATGGCCCTCCTCCACGTGCTCAGGGCTTGCCTTCGGAGCAGGACCGGTGAGGTTCTCCTGCAGAGGGCTAGAGACACAGGCAGACACGGTTCGGCCCCCGCAAGGGCCCACACGTGAGCGGGATCCCCCCGATGAGAGACCCCCGGCCCTCCCTCGGCCTCTCGCTCTGAGGTCCCTGGAGTTGGGACGCGCAGGGCCCCTTTCCGGGGGGCTCTCAGTCGTTCTGCTCTCTCCCTAGGGGCCGCCTGCTGCTCCGCGTCCTTCCGACAGATGCCCTGTTCAGTGTGGATGCCATCGTGGCAAACGTGCTCTTGTAAGTTGTCCGTCCGTTCAGGGGCACTCCTCTGGTCACGGCCACTTGGCGCTTGTGCGTGGGGAGCCGGTGGCCGAGGGGGGCTCTCGCTACTTGCTGCCACTTGTCCCTGGGGGCAAATACTCATGGGGGGCAATTTTGGGAAGGGAGAAGCAGCAGGATCCTATCCTATCCGCTCCAGCACACGGTGTCCTCACGGCCAGCAATTTGTACGGCTTCCAAAAGGGGTTCGATAAATTCATGGAGGAGAAGGGCCACGGTTCCTAGTCCTCATGCTACCCCGGGATCAGAGACAGTTTCCCTATGGGCAAACGTTTCTGGGGAACATGGGCAGAACTCATGTCCTTCTCGTCGGATCCTGTGGGCGGCTGACTGGCCACTGCGTGAACCAAATGCTGGACTAAATGGATCTTTGGTCCATTTTTAAGGAACAAAAGTTTTTTAAGGCTAATCCAGGTAATACAGCTTGAGTTGTACTATTTTAATAGATTTTTAGCATTTTAAATATCATTATATAGAAGTTGTTTCTGTCCTTGCTGTGCACTGCACAGGGAGTCCTGCATGGGGCTGTTGGGTGTGGTATATAAATTCAGCAAAGAAATAAAGAAACAAACATTAGGAAAAAATTAAACAGAGTTGTCTCTGCAGTAGAAACAGAGTGAGCCAGAAGGGGTCTCCTGGGCCATCTAGTCTGACCCCCGGCTCCAGCCGGCTCCGCTCACGACATGCCCACCATGTGCATGTCCAGCCTATCCTTGAACACGCTCACCGATGGGGCCTCAACCACCTCCCGGGGAAGCCCATTCCACACCCTCGGGGTCCCGACTGTCAGGAAGTGCTTCCTGGCATCCACCTTGAATCTTGGTTCCCTGAGCTTTGCTCTGTTGGCGCGTGCCCTGCCCTCCACTGCAGGGGGAAAAGGTCACGACCCGCCTCCGCAGGGAGCCCCTCACGTATCTGCCTGTCGCTAGCAGGTCCCCCCTGAGTCTCCTCCCCTCCAGGCTGGAAAGGCCCAGCTCCCTCCGTCGCCTCATACAGCTCACCCTGCAAACCGCCCCGAGGCTTCGGCGAATGGGGCGGCATCAAAATGTTTTAATAAATAAAAAATAAATAAAATAAACCGGCCACCATCCCAGCGGCCCTTCGCCGCACTGCTTCCAGCCACGCTTGGCAGCAGGGGGACACCAGAACACCGGATCCGGGCCTTAGGAAAATACCCATCCTGGTACCGCGCCGAAAATGCTCGCGCACGGACGAGGACCCTGGTCCCGTTCACACGCCGCTTCCCTGCCTCCTCTTCTCCAGCGCTCTCCTCTTCAATGAAGTGAAATACGCCATGACCCTCGCCGACCTGCAGGATCTGGAAGACACGCTGAAGGGCCGGGCAGACCTCGTTTTCGCCTACGTGCAGGCGATCGGGACGGCAGGTAACGCCCCGGGGGGCTTCAGCGGGGAGCCGGCGTCCCCTGCCCCCCACGGGGGGGGGGGGGGCTGCGCTCGGCTTCAAGAGCAGTGGCCCAACGGTGGGAGGAGCCAAGGCTTGGGCTGTGGGCGCTGCCGGGTCTGACCGCGAAGGGGGCTGGTTGACTTTGCGTCCTGAAAGAGATGCGGAGAAAGCCCGCGTCTCGTCTCTGGGGGCCGTTTCCCCTTGACTTCTGAACGCCTTTTCTGCTAGAGCACAGAGTGTTGATGGAAGCGGCTTTTGTCTACGACTCGGTTAAGTTTGCCTTAACCACCGAGGTGACGCTGCTGAGGAGCATCCGGTACGTATTCCGCAACGGGGGCCCCCGGCACCCCAGGGCTCCGAGTCTGTCGTCCACACGGCCCGTGGGAGTGTCTGAGCCTTTGCTCCCTGCCCTGGCACTGCATTCTGGCGAGGGCTCGAAGGGGATCGCCGGCCGGGCCGCCCAGAGACACGTCAAGTGCGTTGGCTCTTTGTAGGCTGTGTGCGGAATCCCTTCTGGGCCCGGCTCCTGGGCAGCATCCCGGGGCCCAAGCACCGGGCGGGCACGGAGAGCACTCGACAGACAGTGGGTCCTGCTGGCGGCACCCCTCTTCGCGCCGTCGGCAGCAGCCGCTCGGAAGAAGGGTGCTGGTAGCGCAGCCTCCGTTGCGCAAGCGTCCGTGGACCGGCTGGGCCCAGAGCAAGTCCGGGGATGCGCGGGGGATGATTGGCTGGGTTTCATCCCAGCCCCTGTCAGAGGGCACGGCTGAGCACGGGGCCCTTCGCTGCGAGGATTTCTCAGCGGCTGCTGCAGCGGCTGTGCGTATGGCGGCTGCCAAGCTAGGACAGGGCTGGGGGAAGCCTCTTCAGCTCGTGGCCGCCGAGGAAAGGAGCTCTTCCGGGCCAGCGTCGCAGGGTGCCTGATTCCAGCGGGGCAGGATGCCTGTGGCCAGAGGCACGTGTTTGTTTGTGCCTGATGGGAGCCAGTGCTCGGCTTGGTCGGGCACCGGCCAAGGCCCACATCCTAGCAGGGTCCCCCGGAGCCAAGCCTGCTCCCCACCATTGCAGCCTGAGTGCGCATCCGCCTCTCGCTCTGCCCCGGGCAGCACTGATGGCAGGAAGACGGAGCCAGAGAGGTCTGGCCTGCTCGCTCCCGGGCCCTCGCCCGCAGGTCGGAATGCGTGGACCCAGGTCCTGGCGCTCGAGGCCTGCCTGGATCCCCACACCCATCCTCCTCGGCATTCCTCCTACAGCAGCGGAGAGCCAGAAGTGCCGTCCTCGAGGCTCTTTTTCTGCCACTGCAAGGCAGCCGCCCAGCCCTCCCAGCCGTGCCGAAGGACCCCGCTGGAGCAGCCGCTGACCACGCTGAACGTCCACAAGTTCCTGAAGCTGATGGGGGAGCCCCCGGTGGTACGTGGGTGGCCATGTTTGCTTGCCACCCAGTGACTTCCAGGCATTCTGAAATTTTATTGATTTCATTTCTATATCAACCAATAGCTGCAATTCTCCAGATGGTTTGCAAGAATCCATAAAAATCTAAACCGCAAATGCAAACAAAGCAGCCCCGTTTTTCCCGATGTACAATATTTTTAAACAATTGAACAAGGAAAACATGTTTAGTACAAACGAAACCGATTAAAAGCAGTGGATACAAATGCCCCAGCATGCCACTGGATACCTTTAAGTGCCATTAAATGCCAAAGGATGGCAGAGTTGGTGCCAAGCAGGTCTCTGGAGAGATCGCTCCAGCACTGTGGGGACACCACCAAGAAGCCCCTGCTCTGGTTGCTGCCATTCAGCCTCCCTCAGCAGGGGCTGTTGGAGGAAGGCCTCAGAGGTTGGAGAGTATGAAGTGGGCTAGCCGATTGCTGCGGGGGAGAACAGGACAGTCGCTCCAGGGAGCGTCTCCTTCCTCCTCCAATTTCCAGTTGTTTGATGGGAGCCCATTGTGTGTGTGCTTTTTCCCCTATTCGGAGAGGTCAAAGTGCCTCTCCTTGGGCTAGAAAGCAGGCTAAAATACGCTGATAGTTTGGCCCTGCCCTTTTGGCCTTAGGCTCTGCCTAGGACTGGGCAGCCAATGTTGGGCTGAAGGAGGACCGCCAAATCTGGACTTCAATTCTTGGCATTTACTTCCATGAAAAGAGTCACGTTGTCTGGCGAAAATGCCGGGGTGGGGGGTGGTCACTGACCAAGGCCGGGCCTGGCGGGGGCTTCTGGGGAGCCTCCCCTGCTTCCGGTGCCCAAACGAAGCCAGTCGTGGGTGCTTTGCTGTGGCCTGAAGCTGCCTCTCTTCCCCAGATGGAGGTCGCGGAAGATCCGGCGACCGTGTCCACCCTCCACCTCCAGCTTGGGCTGCCCCTTGTCTTCATCCTGACCCAGCAGGAGACGCTGGACGCGGAGCGCAGGGTGGCGGAGTCTGTGGCCTGGCGGCTGCTGGGGAAGGCCGGGGTTCTCCTCCTGCGAAGGTATGTGGGCCGCACCGAGGGCCCGCCTGGGCCAGGGGCCGTGCCCAGAGGAGCCGACGCGGCGCTGGGGGGAAACCCACGAGCGCGCTCTCCCGCTCGGTCCCAGCCGTCGCCCGCGGTGCTTTTTCTGCCGCTTAGAGCAGCTGTGCCCATAAACACGATGTATGCATTTGAGTCCGTTTCCGTGCCACCCAGTGGCTGAAGACCCTTGGGCGGTTGCAGCAGGTGGGCTGAGCACCCTGGGAGTCGCCGGACACCTTTCTGCCTCGACTTGCATTGGGTGCACCCTCCACCGCAGATGACAAACCACGCCAGAAGTGCCTTTCGGGCCAGAGGTGGCGTGTAGCCAGAGGGCCGGTAGCCACAGCTAGCTGCCTCCTCCTCCTCCTGCTCCTCCTCCTGCTCCTCCTCCTCCTCCTCCTTCTCCTCCTCCATGAAGTTGTCCAGCTGCCTTTGAAAGTCCTCCCAGGCAGTGGCCCATCATCACAACAATCTGCAGAAGTGAATGTTGTCGTTTCAACCTTTGATCTGGCCTCAACCTCCCACCCTTGGGGAGGCCCTTGCGGGGGCCATACTCAGAGGGGGAACACAGCCCACGTGGAGTCGACGCACCCAGGCGCACTCACACATGCGTATCCCAGGGGTCTTGCTGCGCTCCCCTTGCGCTGAGCGATGCGTAGGAGGAGAGCTGGACTGCAGCCAAATCAGCCGGGTGGGAAATTCTGGCCGGGCAGGGCAGGGCACCTTGGAGGGGCCCTGCACGGGCTGTGGGGCTCTGGGCCATGCCCCTCACTGTCTGCCGTGGGGCTGACTGCAGGCTCGGGCGTGGCGTGGCGTGGCAGCGTGTCCAGGTGGTGCCGTGGTTCAGCCTCGGGCGATCTGCCCACCGTTGTTCAGTGCAGGGCAGTTGCAAAGAGGCGCAGAGATGCTTCGGAGGGGATTCCCGTCAAGCAGGGTGGGGGGCGAAGCTGGTGGGGGAGTTCCAGACAGAGCTGAGAAGGAAGGAGGACTGGGTGTGCTGGACTGCAAGGCCCGTTATCCCCAGCCCGACTGCGCTGCAGATGAACCCTGCCTATCCCCGCTCTCCTCTCTACAGTCCTGCTTCGGACTGGAATTGGGGGTTCAGAGGAGGGCATCGCCCCTCCAGGTCTCCCTGCAGGAGGCACAGAAATAGCTAGCACAGCAGGGCGTCTTTTTAAGCACGGCCCCTTGGCATGCTAGAGTTCTCCTTGCAGGGAGCGTGGGTGGGTCTCCCGCAGGGCGGCATCCAGTCGCCAAGGCCCGCTCCGCAGGCGGAAGTGGTGCCGTCCACACACAGGTCTCCCAGGCTGCTTCCGGAGAGAGATGATTCTGGGCTACCTCACAGGGTTCTGGTGAGGATCAGGGGGACGGGGGCCCCGTCAGTCCCTTTGAGCCCCTTGCAGGAGGGAAAAGCCAGCTGTAAAGGCGATGCAAGCGTCACACGCGCACGGCATCGCTCACCATTCGACCTCTGATTCGTATCTTGAAAGGAACTGGGTCGGCCCAGACGTCCCTCTGAATTGCAACGTGGCCGTCAAGAAAGCCGAAGAGGTGAGTTGCTGCCCTTGCACTCAAGATGGACTTTTCATGCATGGCGCATCTCCTCCTGTCTGCTCAGAAGTAAGGCTCCCTAAACCAAATGCACGTATCGCCAGGCAGGGAGGTGTGAGAAAAACGGCTCGGGGTGGGAATCCGTCTGAGTCCCTTGGCTCAGCTCCCGGGCTCCGGTCCACATTCTCTCTGTCCTGAGGCCTCCGGCGACTGAGCAGCTGCAACCGTCTCCGGCAGGAAGCGAGTCCGACCAAGACCGCGAGGCCAGTTCGTGCGCATGCTGGCCGCATGCCGAGCTCTGTTTCCACACACATGACCCACGGGCTTTGCAGACTCGGAGCACTTTGCGCAAGGAATCACGCGCATTGCGTACCTTGCGCAACGAAGCCCATTTGTTCATGAGCCTTTGCAGGCTTGATCCCGGCAAAGCTCGCTTCCTGGCCAGCGCTGAGGGAGGGAAAGAAGTCAGGTGAGGCAAGAAAAGCTGCTGGCTTCCAGCCTGCTCTGATCCCGACAGGTGAGCCCGTTCGGTTTGCAGCCTTAGCTGTCCTCAGCCTGAGCTTATCATTTAATTTCATTTATTACATTTGTCTGCCACCACATAGCCCATAGGGAGCTCTGGGCTGCTTATGATAGAACAAACATATATATATATATATTTCGTAAAAATGCAATACAACCAAGCAATACAATATTGCCTGGCAACAGTGATTCATGCCCTGGTAAGTTCCCAGCTGGATTACTGCAACGCGCTCTACGTGGGGCTGCCCTTGAAGACAGTCCAGGTAGTTCAGTTGGTTCAGAACAGAGCTGCCAGGATGGTCACATATAACGGCGGTCCTCAACCAGTTATACTGGCTATCAAAGTCTGGGCCCAATTCAAGGTGCTGGTGATGCCCTATAAGGCCCTAAACAGCTTGGATCCTGGATTCCTGAAGGAGCGCCTTCTCCCCTATGTGCCCTCCCACCCCTTGAGTTCTGGGTCGGAGGTCCTGCTCCGGGAGCCCTCCCTGAAGGAGATTAGGAGGGAGAGCACCCGGGGGAGGGCCTTCTCTGCGGTGGCACCCCAACTATGGGCTATGCTCCCCAGAGAGGCTCGCCTGGCGCCAATATTATATTCTTTTTAGCATCAGGCAAAACCCTTTTTATTTTCCCATTATTTTAATGTTTAATTGATTTTAATTGGGGTTTTAGTATATCATGGATGGATGCAGTGCGGCTGTTCTATTTATTTATTGTTCTGTCTGTTCCAAGACATTCTGCAGGGGATGGGATAGAAAAGCTGTTAATAAAATAAATAAATAAATAAATAACATTTAACTGTAAGCGATAAAAAATCAAAACAAAACTTAATGCAATACTATAATACGTAATGCAATACAGAATATCGATGCATAATACAATATAATAATACAGTTTATAATATCAATAATGATAAGATATAGCTATAATCCCCCCCTCCACGGACACAGCCCAATTATCCATCAGTGTAGTTATTTTTTTTTTAATTGATTTATATCCTGCCTTTTTCCTACAAGGGGCTCAAGGCAGCTTGCATCCTTCTCCTCCTCCATCTTCTCCCCACAACAACAACCCTGTGAGGTAGGTTGGGCTGAGAGTCTGTGACTGGCCCAGAGTCACCCAGTTGGCTCCATGGCCGAGCGGGGACTCGAACCCGGGTCGCCTGAGTCCCAGTCCTGTGCTCTTCACCACTGCACCCCACTGGCACCACAGTTAAAGAAACACACTCACACAGTGGCGTGTGGGTTACACGCACATACAACGGGATGAGACACAATATTCACGTATGAGACGATTTCACTTACAGTATTTATCCACTGCCCCATCATTCTGCCATTTCCAGGCAGTGGAAAAGGATAGAGGTCCAGCATGTAAAAATTCTGGGCATGGTAGACACACAGAATACGGTCCATGCTGCTCCGGGTAAAAAGCAGCTGCAGCCCTTTAGTAGTTCCCATGACAAATCACCGTGTGCCAAGACATAACCACCGGCCTCCAGCGTGTGCCAGGTTCGTAGAGACGTCGGCACGTGTCTTCGTGCCTTGCCTCCCTGCTTGGTGGGAGATCGCAAACCTCCGAGCTGCTGCCGTGTCGACTCAGACACTTTATTTATTTATTTAGAGTTTTTTGTATCCCGTCCCATCGCAGGAGCCTCGGGACTGCTCACATACAATAAATAAACAATAGTGCAAATTAGAATCCAGATTCACCCTGGCTGTAAATTAAAAACCTATAGGTGATATTAAAAATTGTTAAAATATGGTTGAAATAAAAAGGTCTTAATTTAACAAAAATTGTTAAAATATCGTTGAAAAAATGACGGCGCCAGGCGGACCTCTCTGGGGAGCGCATTCCATAAGTTGGGCGCCACCACAGAGAAAGCCCTTCTCCGAGTGCTTATCCTCCTAATATCTTTCATGGAGGGTTCCTGGAGGATTTTATTTATTTATTTATTTATTTATTATTTTTCGATTTATATCCTGCCTTTTTCCTACAAAGGGCTCAAGGCAGCTTACATCTTCTCCTCCATCTTATCCCCACAACAACAACCCTGTGAGGTAGGCTGGGCCGAGAGTCTGTGACTGGCCCAAAGTCACCCAGTCGGCTCCATGGCTGAGCGGGGACTCGAACCCAGATCTCCTGAGTCCCAGTCCCACGCTCTTCACCACCACGTCACTCTGGCATTATTGTCATTTTTATTTATTTTTATTTTTATTTATATTGGCCTCTGCCGCCGATCTCAAGGGGCAGGCGGGCCCATGTGGCTTTCCGGTGCCGGCTCGGACCAGGGCTGCTCTTAACCACTACTCACACTGGCATTATTGTCATTTTTATTTATTTTTATTTTATTTATTTAAAACTTGTATATGCCGTCCCCTCACACCTCGGCATCTCGGGACAGCTTACAACATAGAATTAAAACAATAAAACAGTAACAAATACAGTAAATTTATATAAAAACCAAAACAAAAAACAAAACAGCAACTGTTAATGATAAAATTATTTTTTAAAATAGCCATTAAATAAAAAGGTTTTAACCTGGCGCCGAAAAGAATATAGACTCAGTGCCAGACGCACCTCTCCAGGGAGAACAGCTATTTAGAGAACAGCTGGGACAAAATACTGACGAACTGGTGTTAAATTTATTAACAGGAGTAATATTAATAATAACAAGGAACTGGAAAACAAAAGGCGAATAGCATATAGTTGGCTGGTAAAAAGAAGTCTGGAATAGAGCTATTAATGATAAGTTAACTTGTGATATTAAATGCAAAAAAGGTTTGAGGAGTGAAAATAAATTTGAAAATATTTGGAGACCTTTTACTAACACAAGAGAGTGCAGTTCTGGAAGGGAAGTAGGGCAGCCCAAATGAATAAAAGATCTTACTTAAGCAAGCAGAGCTGTTGGTCCTGGTGGAGGTAGCACTGATCCTGATGCGGTGTTTAATCAGTGATGTTTTGTCACAATTGTTGTTATTGTGTTAATTGCATCGTTTTTCTTAGTTGTAAAAAATAATTAAAAACAGGATGGAGCGTCTAGGACAACATCCATCTTTCCAAGCTTTGTTACCTGTTCAAGGAGTTTATGCCTGTACTGTTGAGGGCTAGAAACTTGATCTCAGGCCTTTGCAATCTTCACACCAAAGCCTGCGGGCTGTGCAGAAGGGGCTCTGGGAAGTCCTTGAGGGGTCTGTCCCTTTCCACTCATCCGTGGACACGTGACGCGCCTCGTTTGAGTGCGCATTTATCCTAGAGGAAGAACCAGGGCAGAAACAGGCGCACCCTTGCTCGGATGCGCTTGCGAAGGGTGCTGGGGGTGCCTCGATGCGCCATCGTGGTGGGGCTCGTTCGAGTTCCGCCTTTGGCCGCAGTCCGAATGTGTGCCTGCTGCATTTCTGCAGGGCGTGCCTGTAAAATACCTGGTTTTGAAGGACATGGACGCAGTCGTGTCCTTGGTGGAGAGCATGGCGCAGGCGGAACCTGTCCAGGAGCTGGAGGAGGAGGAAGAGGAGGAGGAAGACGCTGAGAACAATGAGCAAGGTGAGTGCGTGTCCCATTGCCTCTTCGGTCGGCCATAGCTGTGGCCTGCGTGTTCTGGCCAGCCCTGGGACTAGCCTGCGATCTTTCGAGCCATGCTGGGTTCAAGGAGAGACCTTCTATTGTCCGTCACAAACCTGGCGTGGTGGATTGTCAGGGCGGCCAACCGGCCAACCATAATCCATGGCTTGTTTTAGGGGTGTGGGTGGCCTGGTACCCCCCCAGCGATCCCCTCAGCTGACTTCGCTGGTAGTGCCACGCTGAGGTCAGTTCCTGCCACGGCTTGAATTTTCAACATGGCAGCCACGGGACAGTGAGAAACACGGTGGGAAATTTGCCCGTTGTGGTTTCTTGCTGTAGGAAAACTGACCCACAAGATTCCAGAGTTTATGAAGCCTGGGAGGGGTTGTCTTCTCCCTCCGGCATGAAGTTTAACAAGGCAGAGTCGATTTTAGGGTGAGCCCGCGGTGTCCGCAGCATGCGCCAATGCAGCCGAGGTCTTGGGAGAGCCTTGTGGCACTGGCCCACACCCCAGGTTCTCAGAAGAGCCCTGAGTTTGGATCAGGTCAATGGCTTCTGTAGTCTGCCATCCTGATCACACAAGGGAAGAGAGCAAAAAGGACCCGAGCTCAGCAACAGGCATACAAATGCATATGGCCCCAGGACTGGTCGCCTGGGGGCATTTCAGACTCTCCATAGGCGATCAGGTGAGTGTTCATTCCTAAACCTGGTTTCCATTAACACATTTCCACCCGTCCTTTTGTGTGTGTTCTTATTTTTGCCGGTCCAAGAGGACGGCTACAAAGAGCTGTATCAGTGCAGCGCTGTCAAGGGTGATAGCGATTTGTGTCATGCAATTCATCCGCAGAGTTGCCGGCTGTTCTTGAGGTCAAACTGGGTTGTGCTTGGGTGGGAGTGGGGGACGCATCTCCCCCCGGACCAGGGGAAATGGTGATGGTCACTGTGGGAGCCAAATCCTGGGCTGGCTGGGCCAGCAGGGCCTTCTGAGTGTAGCTCCTCTCCCGTTCCTCCATCACACGGCCTGGTACCCAAGACCGCTGTCCAGGGCATTCCACGCACTGGGGAAGGTTTCCCACCCCATTAGAGGAGAGAGCCCGTGTGGTGCAGTGGCTAAGAGCATGGGACTGGGACTCAGGCGATCCGGGTTCAAGTCCCCACTGGGCCAGGGAGCGAACCGGATGACTCTGGCCCAGTCTCAGCCTCTCAGCCCAACCTGCCTCACAGGGTTGTTGTTGCGGGGACAAGACAGAGGGGAGGACAGCGATGGAAGCTGCCTTGAGTTCTTTTTTATTTGTTTTTTGGCGGCAGGCTAAGACCTTTTTATTCAAACAATATTTTAACAATGTTTAAAATTTATAGGCTTTAATTGTGCAGCCAGGGTGTTTCCGGCTTTTAACTGTATTTGTATTATATTTATTTATTTCTGTGAGCTGTCCCAAGGCTCTATAGCAAGGGGGCGGCATACAGAAACTTTAAATAAATAATAAAATAAATAATAAAAAAGGCAGGATCGCAATCAATCAATAAATAAAGGGTTATTTGCCTCTGCCCCACAGAGATTCAGGACGACCAGGTGGTGGAATCTGTTGTCCGAGACCGGAAGCGTGAGCTGCCTCTGGGAGGCGTCCGGACCCTGACGGAGGACTCCTTCGGCCCTGCTCTGGCTGAGGCCGGTCACATGGTGGTGCTGTTCTACGCCAGCTGTAAGTCCCGCTCTTGCCACTGCCAAGAATTTCGGAATGCCGCCGGCATCTGGAAAGTGTCAGGACCCAGCGAGCGACCCGAGAGCACGCATTTGACCATGTGGATGCTCTGAATCATTTAAAAATGCCCCGCATCCACGCCAACGCCAGAGCAGCGGGCGAGGGTGCGGTTAAGTTTGCACGGAATCAAATCCAGAGATTAAACCAGCATCACCAGAACCAGGCAGTAGAGGCCACAAATCCAACAGAACAGGGAACACAGGCCAGCATTTAAAGTTAAGACACCTGCGCAAACAAAAGGGCTTTGAGCTGGCGCTGAAACATGTGCAGCGTTGGTGCAACCAGTCCCTGGAGAGGGTGTTCTGGATTGGGTGGCACCACCAGAAAGACCGTCTCCCTTCTTGCCACTTCCTGCTTCCCTGCGAGCTGAATCTCACCTGTCGATCTTTGGTGTTGTTTTCATGTGTGCTGTAGGGGAAGCCGTCTCCCTGGTCATGCTGCAGACTTTCCTCGAAGTAGCTGCTCTTCTGGAAGACGCCATCCAGATTTCAGGTGATGCCATCCAGATTTCAGGATGCAGCTCCAGCACCTCCAGAGTTCCCAGAATCTCCGGACACACACTGCAGTCCCTGAATTTCCCCCTCTTGATTTCTCAGCAAGGGGCATTGGAAAGACCCACACACAAGGGGGTGTGGCACATGGGTGGCGGTAGAAAAATGGCTTATCGTTGAACCATGGATTGCTGTGTAGTCCGAACCCAGCAGCCCTAATTAGCTATGGCTGGTGAACCACAAACCACCCATGAAGGAAACCTCTATTTGGCTGTTGGGCTGTGCTTCATGTGTTGTTTGCCGTGGTTTTGCTATCTCAGCTGGGTTCAGAGAATGGGATGAGCCACATCTCAGCAACCAGGAACAATGCCTCCTTTGGGCATCAATGAAAGATCCGTTTTCTAACCCCGGCCTGCCCTCGGGGCTTGTGCTGCCCAATCTCTCTGTAATTGCACTGTTGTTTTAGGTATTCTAAATGTGTTTGATTCAAGTTTTTTATTCACATTTTAGCATTGTAATGCATTTTAGTATATTTAGAAAGGTGTTATATTTTAAAGAGAGATTTTAATATAGAATAACAGAATAGTAGAGTTGGAAGGGGCCTTGAAGGCTTTTGAGTCCAACCGCCTGTTCAGTGCAGGACTCCCAGTTAAACCATTCCTCCCAGATGGCTGTCCAGTTTCCTTTTGAATGTCTCTATGTGAGGGGGTGCCATGCAGAGGTGGGTAGAGACCTGTTTTCCCCTGCAGAGGCGGGCAGGACGCATTCCAGTGGAGCAAAGCTCAGGGAACCAAGATTCAAGGTGGATGCCAGGAAGCACTTCCTGATGGTTAGGACCCCTGGGGTGTGGGATGGGCTTCCATGGGAGGTGGTGAAGCCCCATCAGTGAGGGCATTCAAGGATAGGCTGGACATGCACATGATGGGCATGTCATGAGTGGAGCTGGCTGGAGCCGGGGGTCAGACTAGATGGCCCGGGAGACCCCTTCTGGCTTGCTCTGTTTCTGTGTTTCTATGTCTCTCACGTGGGAGAGCCCACCACCTCTTTGGGCAACTGGTTCTTCTGTCATGTTGCTCTGACAGCAAGGAAGCTTTTCCTGGTATCTAGCCTGAATCTGGGCTGCCACAACTTGATGTGATTCTTCCATGTCCTGTACTCTGGGATGTTTGAGAATCGATCCTGTCCTTCCTCTTTGTGGCAGCCTTTGAGGTCCTTATAGAGGGATATCATGTCCCCCCTCAGTCTTCTCTTCTCAAGGCCGAACATGCCCCGTTCTCTCAGTCTCTCCTTAAGGGATTGGTGGTATGTGCATTGATTAATACCACAAATAGCAGTAAGACAAGGAGCCCCTCGAGGAAAAGCTGGACCATTTTCCCCCAGCTGGGAGACAGCCGCGGGGCCAAGGAGACGGCCATGACAGCTTTCTCACCAAGCCCCAAAGCGTTGCTCCATAGACTCGTTTTCTGCCACTGATAGCGAGGACAAGACCAGCTCGAGCTGGCTCAGAGAAGGGTAGATTTTGGCTGACCCTTCAGAGAAACATCCTGATGGGCTGAACGGTTGGGCGGTGGAACCAGGTATGGCAAGCCGCCTTCCCCAAGCCGGCATTCTGCACACAAGCTAGACCGCAACTCGCCGGCTTCGTCAGGGGCCTCCCCGCCGTCCGGGGGGCGCCAGGCCGGGTCCTTCTCCCACGGAGCTGCCCCTCACGCTCGCCACTTGCCTTCAAAGGGGGTCTCCTGCTCCCACGGATTCCACGACCCCTGAAAGGCCCTCAAAGCGGCAGGCTAAACTCAAGAGCTGGCACTGCGGAGGGATCTGTGCAGAGTGTTGCTGGCCACCCACACAGGCTCAGCTGTTCTCTCTGCCCCGTTGATGCCGCTGAGCTCCGAGCGTTCCTCGGCAGGATCTTGCTAAACCAAAGAATCCCTTAAAAGCCTTGGACTTGTATTAACCTTGTAAGGCCTTGTAAGTAGGCCTTGTAAAAGCCTACTATTTGGAGGGAGGACAAAAACACACTGCAGATGCAGGTATGGGGAAGACTGGAAGGCTTCTGGATTTGTGGAATCGGAGCTGAAATGGCTTCTTAAGTGGTGCCAGCGTTTATGTTTCCGCTTCCAAGAACTCTGCTTGGTACCTCTTCTTTCCTGGCACGCTCTGACGTCACTGAGCGGGATCAGAGTCAAGACGGGCTCAGCGTGACTCCTGTGTGCGCACTCCGGGTTTGAGTCATGGCGGACGGACTGCCAGTGGGCGACGGATCCGCGGGGGGCAGGCCCAGCTTTGTGACTCCATACGAAAAAGTAGGAACCAGTAAATGGATTTGCAGTCTCACATTTGCGGTTGATTGAGCAAGCTGGCCTTTGTTTATTTCATTACATATACAGCATTTATTTAATGCCTTTATCTGAAACGGATCTCAAGATGGCTTAAATCTTCCCTCGCTTCCGGCAAAGGAGAAGTTTACAATATTAGTGCATTGTGTCCCAGGAGCAGAACCCATGAAATCCTGCTATTCCGATCAAACAATTTAAAATACAGTGGCAGTAGCTGAATGCCAAAAGGAGTCAATAATAACAAAGGTAATTCTCTTACACTTAACAGTAGACACAGTGAGGGCTAATCAAACTTATCCTGGGAGGAAGTTCCAGAAATGTGGGGCCAGCGCCGAGAGAGCTCTGCCTTGGATCCCCCACCTCCTCCCTCATTTACCGGGGTCCTCATTAGCTGGTTACAAGGGAGGCCCGCCTTGGATTGCTGCAAACCTGGCTTTGCGTGTTTAAATCGGGCTCAGTCGCTCACCGGCAGCCCGGAATCGGGACGGAAGCCCTCCTTCTCGCAGCCTGGTTAACGGCAGATTCCGGACCCCATGCAAGGAATACGTTGCTGTAATTTAGCAGAGGGGTTAGTGGCATGAGGAAGACTAAGGATGGATGATCCGGCAAGACGGCCAGAGCTGGGCGAGGGTGTCCCTTGCCGTTGGCATCGCTCACACGTCTAGCGAGAAATTGGTGTCCAGGAGCCCTCGTGCAGTGCCCTTGGCAGGAGGGGTCTCCAGTGGCAGGTCCCCTTAGGATCGCGGGGGGTTTTCAGCTGCTCTGTTTTTCAAGAAGAAGAGGAGTCCAGGAAGCCCTTTGCTTACAGAGATCTAAGGGAAAGCGTTCAGCCAGGGCCGACTCGCTAAGTAAGAAAACCCATGCCGGAGCATCGACCCAGGAGTGGAAGGCGCTGGGTTTGCTGACAAGCCGTTGGCATGTTGTGACATTCTGCATCAACCCTGATTCATCTCAGCTCCCGAACGCTTTCAAATGGGCTGTTTTAAACATATGTTTACATTCTTCTTCCCTGTTTCCCACCGGCCTGTCACAGCTCCCCTTTCCCGGCACCGCAAAGATTTCTGGCTGGAGGGCAGGCGGCTCTTTATGGGAACGGAGGATGGTGCAGCCAAGTGCTTGGACGTTGGCCTGAGCCAGCTCGAAAGGTTTGGCTCAACGGGCCGTGCAAGGAAAGGCTGTAATGCCGTTCGGCCCCTTTTGAAGGAGACACCGTTCCGGGATGCTCTTGGGGTCGCTCCTGGGTGCCTCAAAGTGCCGCTTACCAGCTTCGGCCTGTTATGGGCAATATCCTGCCACAGTGGCCTCCCCTTTGGATCATGCCGGGGCACCCTCTGTTTCCAGGCCCACTTCACGCAGGTTTAACCTTGACACCAAAATGGTCACCTGAAGGAACACCTCCTCCAAAATTTACCTGTGCAACCTTTAATGTGTGTGCCTCTCCTCTGAATGACCCTGCCAGATGGGGAGAGGGGCGAGGCTACAGGCCGGAGGACCTTTTTAGTGGTGGCTTCCTGTTTGTGGAATGCTCTTCCCTGTGTGGATGCTTTTTCCAGCCCCAGGAGAAGGCCTTTCTATTCTGCGTGGCATTTTAAGAACTCTCTTTATGGGTTTTAGTGTTTTATTATGTGGCGGGTTTTATTTTTATTAATTACTGAGATGGTTTTATTCTTTGCTGCTGGTTTTATCTCGTTCCTGTTTTTGTGGTGTATTTTATGTGTTTAATCCATTGTACACTGCCCAGTAAATGTAAGATTGTTGGGTGATTTTAAAAAATGGTAAGTAAATGCATAGTCTTGGGGCTTGGGCCCAGGACCTGTTTTTCCTGAATCACATGTGAACTAATAAGAAAAAGCCTTGCCTCTGGGCATGGACAGAGGACTAAGAAGTGAGCAAGCATCCTGGGTAAGGGGTGTGGCTTCTAGGCGGGCACTGAACCTTGGCAGGACCAAATCGACTTTTGGGTTGCTTGGCTAGGGCCGCCCCCCCCCCCCCCGCGGTCAGTTCCAGGCCGGAAGCAGCAGGGGCCCATGCCTGGCGTGCCAGGACGGGGAGATGCCAGTCCTGGCAAGGTGCGACGGGCCCAAGGCGAAGGCAGGCAAGCGAGGATTGGGTCCTGGCCAGGTGTGGCAGGGGCGCAGAAGCGAAGAGGGGCACAGGACGTCGCGAGGGTCAGGCAGCTGGCCGAGCGTGGCGGGGCAGAGGCAGGCCGGGGCACGGATGTCGACGTGGCAGGACGGGTGATGGACACCCACCAGGACCACCGGGCAGCCGCCGCGAAGGCTTGTGGTGCCGGCACGGGCTCGGCCAGCGCTCCTCCTGCGGCTCGCAGGTGGTTTCGGGAGTGCAGCGGCCCCGATCCCTGCCAGCCCCTCCAGGCCAGGCCCCAGCCCTGCGTGGGGAGCCAGGCCGCCTGCCCACCGCTCTTCAGCCCTGCAGGCCTGGCAGTCTAGGGGGGCAGCACCCTGGGTACCGCCCCGGCCTCTGAATTCTGCCCTGGTTCGCCCGCACCCTAGGACGCCGAGTCCAGTTCTGGGAGCTGCGCTTTGAGGCGGCCTTGGACAGCTTGAAAGGCTCCGGGAGAGCGTGATGGAGCTGGGGACGGATCTGGAAAGCATGTCCTGCGAGGAACGGCTGAAGGGGTTGGGCATGTCTCGCCCAGGAGGAGGAGATGCCAGGGAGACGTGAGCACCGGGTTCAGCTGCCCCCGCGAGGGACCAAGCTGCGGCTGCCAAGTGCAGGGTGGAACCGACAGGCGGAAAGGGCCGGGAAGCGGGGGGAAGCGTGAGCACCCCTTCGGCCCCATCCACTCATGACCCGCCAGCAGCGCCCGAACCGGTGGTGTGCTCCCCGGCTGCGTCCACCAGGGCAGAGGGTGACGGCGAAGGGTCTGTGTGAGGAAAATGCAGGCGTTAGAAAATCACACCCCCAAAAGTGTGGGCCGTAGTCTTGGGAGAAGATTGCGCAGCTCTGAATGCGCACCCAATTATGCGCCCAGGCACTTGCTGATTTTCCCAAGAAAAGGGACGCAAGCCAGGGTGGAATTCAGAAATGCTCAGCGTGGATTCTGACATCTTTGCTCATTTTCCACGCCCCTGTGCATCAGGGGAACCCGTGTGAGCCGTTTGACTGACCGTGGAAGAGACTGTCCGGAGGAGGGGGGCCTCGCTCTCTGGAGAAATGGACGCCTCGCCTGAGCGCCGTCGCTCAGGGATGTGGGAGCGTGTGCGTTGCGCAGCCGGCACTGGCAGGGGCTGAGGACCGTTGAGGTCCCTCCGAGCCCTGCGATTTGGCAGGGCCTTTTCTGCTGGGGCACCCCCTTGAGGGGATATTCTGCCGAGGAGACCTAAGTAGCCAGTTTCTGGAGCTCACTGCTCACGGCTCTCAAAAGAAAAGCCTTATTTCGGCTCGGCTCGGCTGCCTGCAGTTTTCTGACTTTCACGGCCAGGATGGAAAGGGCACGCGGTGAGACCCATTGGTCTCAGGGGACGGTGCTGTTGGAGGAAGCAGCAGGCCCCTCGGGTTACACAGGAAATCAAATTTGAGATCCTCCCCTTCCCCCATGACTTTCAAGAGCAGCTTGGGATACATTACTGCAGGGGGCAAGAGGGAAATTCCTCCAGGAAAAGGTCGGACGTCCGACTGGGCATTCTAGGCTTGCGCACGAGCTGGAAGGCACACGGCATGCCTGGCCTGGGAATTTCCCTGCTGCAAGATGTTGGGAACGGCCAGAGCCACGGAGAACCGGCCACCCGAAGGCGAGTGGCCTTGACCAATGTATGGATCCTCCAGAGCCAGGAGAAGTCTACCATTCCAGTCTTTTGGGCGAAAGAACAGCTGAGATGACTGGTGCCTTTGTGACTCGCTTGATGTTTTCCCAGAATCAGGCGACTGGGCTGGACGGATCTTTGGTCTAATCCAGCCATGTCCTCCTTGCATTGTTATGTAGGTCTTTGGGTGGGGGACCGTTGGAGGTTGCCCCCCTCCTGCAAGAGCCTTTGGGCAGGGAAGAGGGATGGAGTGAGTGAATGAATGAATGAATAAATAAATAGATGCCCCCTGGCTCTCATGGGTCTGATGTGCCCCCTGGGAGAGACAGTGGGGTGGCCACGAGATTGTAAGAGTAAAAGTCCGTTCACTTGTATGGAGGTGCCAAATTCCCTTTCTCTTCTTTCTTCTGCAGGAGCTCCGGAGATTTCTTTTGCACGACTGAACTGCTGGGACTGGCCGCGGCTCTGCGTGCAGCAAGACGTCGTCCGGTTTCCCACCGTCAAGATGCGCACGAAAGGGGGGCCATGGCTGGTCTACTCTGGGATGTGGGGGACGGAGGAGCTGCGGAGGTTCATTGAGCTGTAAGCATCGCTTTGCTGGCCGGGGGAGCCCTCTGGGCGCGGGTCCAAAAGCTCGGACACATGGATTCTGGCCAGCCCGCCCGGGGCCTGCTCTGGGCCTGGCGCAGCTCCCCAGCTGGCCATGGGGTGTCCGTGGCAAAAGGGAACATTTAGGGGTGACCTGGGAGTGCCCTTTTAATATCTGAAAGGCTTGGGTGCAGGAGAGAGAGCGGAACGGTTCTTGCGCCAAAGGCCAGGTCAGGGCGAGAACCAATGGCCGGGAGTTGCACGGAAGCAGATCTGGGCAAGTCATGGGAGATGGTGGCACTGTCACCGTCATCGTCAGCCGTTCGGTCGCGTCCTTGGCCGCTCTGCCTTGCACTGCTTCCTGCAAGACCCCCATGTCCGTCCCAGCGTCCTTCTTTATGCTGTCTGACCGTCTTTGCTTGGTGATCTTGGCTTCAAGCGCTATTTTTGGTGAGGTTCATTCTTGGTCTTCTTGGTCTGTGATTTTTGCAGGCTGTGGGATGCGCAAAGTCGTCTCCAGCACAATTCAAAAGCATCCACCCTTCTTCTAGCTGCCTTTTCAGAGTCCAAGTTTCATGCGTGGCAGTTGGAAAAATTATTGTGTTGACTAATCTGCATTTGGTAGAGAGGCTGATATCTTCACTTTTCCAGTTGTTATTCATGTCGGACATTGCATTTCTTCCAAGTGCTATGCATCTTTGGGTAGAGACCTGTTCTCCCCTGCAGAGGAAGGCAGGACGCGCTCCAACAGAGCCAAGCTCAGGGAACCCAGGTTCAAGTTGGATGCCAGGAAGCACTTCCTGACAGTCAGGACCCTGAGGGTTTCCAGGGGAGGAGGTTGAGGCCCCATCAATGAGGGTTTTCAAGGATAGGCTGGACATGCACATGGTGGGCATGTTGTGAGCAGAGCCGGCTGGAGCCAGGGGTCAGACTAGATGGCCCGGGAGGTCCCTTCTGACTCGCTTTGTTTCTATATCTTCTGATCTCAGGACTGTGGTCACCACGTTGGTCAATTTTAGATCCCAGGAAGTCGAATTCCTTTCCTGTTTTGATGTTCTCACTGTCGATCTGCACTCTGACCTGCATGTTCTCTGCAGACGTCCCTATCTTTGTTTTCTGGATGTTAAGGTGCAATCCAAATTTTGTACTTTTTTCTTTGACTCTGAGGATGAGCCCCTGCAGATCTCCTTTGCTTTCTGCGAGCAAAGTTGTATCATCTGCAGTAGCAGCACGAGACGCCGTAAACGCGTTTGGCCTGTAGAAAACGGAGCTGCAGCCTGGTGCAAAGGGAGGAAATCGATGTCTGCCTTGCAAAGACGTCGCCTTTAATCTCCTTTCCGTTTGCATCTTCAGAAGCACAACACCCTGTCCAGTGAGGTTGACGACAGCTGAAGAAGTGGAACGATATTTAAGTGTCAAAATCTCGCCGTTCCACAACGTTTCTGTTCTGGGGCTGTTTGACCCAGCCATGAAGGAAGGTAAGGGCCGTGCGAGGGTGCACACAAGGCTGGGAAAGGCAGGTGACCCCGGGAGGCATAACGCCACCTCTTACCTTTACAGGAGCGACTGTGGAAGCTGCCCTTCCTTTCCTTTCCAACAGCTGCTCGGGGAGGCCACTGTCCCCCTTTACGGATGGGGAATGGAGGCAGGTCCAGGCAAGACCCCTGCCAGATCAGTGGGGACCCAAGCCGCCCAGAGTGCGTTGCTTCACGTGAACCCAGACCCCTTCCACCAGGGGGGCAACGAGGCTCTGCAGCAGCCCCTGGGCCATTGTAGGGGTTGCGGTCCCCATGAGGAGATGGGGCAAGCGCTCTTCTGACTCTTTGCTCTTGGGCGCATCATGAGAAGCCAGGCCGCCCTGGGAAGACCCTCCTGCTAGGGAAAGTTGAAGTCCGATGAAGAGGAAGGCCCCAGCCATCAGTTTCCAGGAGTTGTGGAAGATGGGACATTTGGAAGCGAGTTTATTGACTAGGGTCGTCCTAAGTCAGAAATGAGCTAACTGTGCATCAGAACAACAGCCACAAACCCTTCTTTTAAACCGGAGCTTTAATGTCAATAGCTGTCACAGATAATGATTTTTATTACTTTTACATTTATACCCTGCTTTTCCTCTTTTTGCAAGGAACCCACAGGGGCTTACAGAAGCCCCCTCCAAATCTCCAATTTGATCCCCAGAACAACAGCCCTGTGAAGGAGGTGCGGCTGCAGCCTAAAGGCACCCAGGCACCTCTGAGTGGGGACCTGAACCCCAATCCCCTGCGTCCCAGTCCAACGTTTTGATCACTACCCCTCGGTAGCTAAGCCAGCCATCTTCTAAATAGGTGGCCTGCCCTTTTGCACATTCTCAAGACGGTAGTGCCAAAGTGAGGGGGTCTTTGGGGCACGCACCCCTCCCCAAACCCTGCGGCTCTAGCCGCCGGGGCAGAAATGAGCTGCCACCTCCTTCCTGAGCGACAGTCCTTGCCCCGTCTTGTCTAGGTCTGAAAGCGTCCCTTTTGACAGTTGCCAGAGGCATCCAGGGGCTTTGCTGCCGGCAGCCACTCCAAGGTGCTCCTGTGCTCCCCTGAAGCACTTCTCCGCAGCTGTCAAAATGGGGATCATCAAGATGACCGCCGCTTTTGGGATTTCCAGAGAAAAAGGCGTGGAGGGAAGGCAGTGTTGGCGAGCTGCAAACAGCCCTCCGACACAGCGGGGAGGACGTGTCCTTGGGAGGAACAAGGAGGGGGGGGGGGGGGGGGGGCGTGCCAAGAACCCTCCATGAGCCCTTGTCTCTTGCACCATCCTGGGTCGTGGTGGGAGAGCCAATCCACTGTGGGTGGGAGAGCGTGACGTGCAAACGCACCGGCCGGCAGGAGATGCAGAGCTGAGTAAAAGGGAGGCATTTCTTCATTGGTGGCATGTGCTGGCCAGCAGCTGATGGTCCACCTGGAAGCCTGTCCTGCGGTCCCCCCAGCCCCCCTCACCTGGGGAGCCCTCGGGCGCTGGACGGGGTGGAGAGCCTGGCTGAATGCAAAGGCTGACAGGGCGACTCTGAAGGAGGATGCAGCTCTGCTGATTTCAGGCTCCGACTTCAGCAGAGGAGACTCTTGGGGGCAGAGGGCCTTCCCTCCCCAGGGGCAAAGGGCCAGCTCTGTGCGCCTCCCGCACTGCCCCGGTAAAGCCAGACTGGGCGCTTTCTGCGGTTCTGCAGCCCTGTCAAGGAGCTCCCTTTCCTTCCGGCCCAGGACCTTTGGCTGCAACTGACTCAGGATCCGCCCAGGGTCCCTGGCGCTGGCAACCACAAACTGGCTCCCTGCAGCGTTGGAGTCCAGCACTCTAACCACTACACCATACTGTGTCGCATTCTTGTGCTTTAGGATTTCATGGTTTCTTTTTTATTGTGAAGGACAATTGGAAAATGCAACTGCCTCTTTGTCATTCCGCACAATGCAGAATTTCGGGCCCGTTGTCTCCCACTCCGTTCTGCATAGCAGGGTAGATTTGGCCGAAATTTTAAAGACTTCCCTTAGCATGCATAGAGTGCCATAGAGACTGGGTCCTTTTTACCGAGGAAGAGAAAGAGAACTGCTTATTTCGCTATACTTATAGGCTGGGCTGTCTGTTTTGGCAGAAAGAGAAGCTTTTGTGGAAGCGGGAAGAATCCTAAACGGATATGTCGTGACCGGGATCTACTGCGGAGAGGACGCCACGGATCTGTATGCTGCTTGCTTGCTTTTGTTTAGCATTGAGTGATTCACGTGTGACCAGGCTGGGATTGGAAAGAAATTCTCCCCTTTCACTGCTAGGGGGCCCTCTCACTTCAGCTTGCCCCCAGATGGAGGTTGGGTCGCCAGCAAGAGGTTTCCGCTCGCCAAGGGCGAGGCGGCGAACCTAATTTTGGAAGCCAGACTGTGTTCCCTGCACTGAGGTGCAGCTCACTGGTTGAACTCTGCTCTGCATGAAAAAGACTCCCACTTCAGGGCCCAAATTCTAAATAGGACTGGGAACGGGGCTGTTTGCAAAACTGTTTTCTCTGCCCAAAGAGTCTTTGTGGACCTGTTTTGGTTCTCCTACACCAGGAATAGGTAGCCTGGGGCCCTCCAGATTTTTTGAACTGCAATGCCCAGTGGTCAGCAATTATGGGAGTTGTAGTCCAGACATTTGGACAGCACCAAGTTGCCTAACCCCTGGTCTACATCCTCCTTAAAATGTGGCACTCAGAAATGGACACAGATATGCAAATAAAAAACCCATTGTTTGATGAAATGGGAGCCCCGGACTAATGGGACAATCTGTTTACTTGCATGAGTCATTTACAATGCCATCATCATCTTCATCATCCTCTATTAATAGAATTCATTTTAATACAGCGATGGATCGGCAGTGGCTCCCCTTTTTCACACACGGTGGAATGCCTTTCCGAGTTGGTGCAGCTGCCTGTGATCAGCTGAAACACACACACACACACACACACACACACACACACACACACACAGCGCATTATTCATACACAAATATATGTAGATTCATTGATTGAGTACTTAAAGCTCATGCAGATTCAGCAAAGATTTCCTTGTTCAGGAGACAACCCCAGTTTGAATAGATTTTGGAAATACGTTTGGGCTTTTTCCAGCTCCCATAAATATAATCTGCCCCTGCCGGCGCTGCTGCTTGCTAAGCTGGAGACTCGGGGAAGACGCGTCATCGAGCTGGCGAGTTTCCGCACGGGAGACATTGTGGAGGCCATCCGGCATGCCCTGCTCGACCCTTTCGTGAGCACCCTTTCATTTCTTCTGGTCCAAAGGACACCTTTTCCCCCTGCCCACTAGCTGTTCGGTGCCTTCAAAGCTTCTGTGCAGCTTCGTCCTCATTCTAAAAAGCGGAAATGCATCTCCCAAGGGTCAGGGAGGTGGTTAAGTTAAAATAAGTTGGGATGTTTAGTATTTTGTCTCCATTTGCATGCAAGAAAAGGCTTGCGGGATCAGAGCAATGGGCTGTCCATTCCAGCACCGCTTTTTGGCTTTGCACACGGGAATCAGAATTCCCAGCGCTTCTCTGAAATCATATTCAGCCCTCCAGCTGTGAAGAAATCCCCTAATAAGGACATTTGGTGCTTTGCTCACTGACTAGTTGGTTGGAGGAAGACCTGGGGGTCTGGTGCCTCTTCTGAGCAGCAGAAAAGCAGGTGGCCGGTTTGCAGGGGACGCCGTATGAGGCGAGACTGAGGGAACTGGGTCTCTTCAGCCTGGAGAAGAGGAGACTCAGAGGGGATCTGTTGGCGACATGCAGGTGTGTGAGGGGGCGTCACACGGAGGTGGGTAGAGACCTGTTCTCCCCTGCAGAGGAAGGTAGGACATGCTCCAACGGAGCAAAGCTCAGGGAACCCAGGTTCAGTTTGGATGCCAGGAAGCCCTTCCTGACAGTCAGGACCCCGAGGGTGTGGAACGGGCTTCCTTGGGAGGTGCTTGAGGCCCCAACGGTGAGGGTGTTCAAAGATAGGCTAGACATGCACATGGGAGGCATGTTATGAGCGGAGCCGGCTGGAGCCAGGGGTCAGACTAGATGACCCAAGAGGCCCCTTCCGACTCGCCCTGTTTCTATATTTCTATGTTTCTAAACCCAAGCTGGCCCAAACATCTCCATCGCATGGCCCCTTGCTCAACGCATTCTTGGAACCCATTCTTGCCTTTTGAAATGTCTTTTCCCCTCTCCTGTCACAGCCAGAAATAACTGTGGGAAATCTGCCCGAGTACTTCCAGCTGGGAAAACCCTTGCTTGTTTTGTTCAGCGACGGGGCGCTGAGCAAAAGCGATGAAGGAGAGATGAGGCGCTTGGCCGAGGCCGGGCACCGCGGAGCCTTCGTCGTCTGCTGGCTGAACCTGTAAGCACACCGTGCGTCTCTCTGGGCTTTCTGCTTGGCATGGGATGCTCAGTGCTCGTTTGCTTGGTGCCCTTTGTAATCGCTTCTCCACTTGAGGCAATGTGCGAGAAAGCTGTAAAAATAAACCAGAAGCAAAGCTGTTGAAGTACAGATGTACTCATAAAACAGAGGAAACTGTTAAAGCAAGAACCCTGAGTTTCTGCTGGCCTGAGGCCTGAATTCCAGAGTGGAGACACTCTCAGTGGTTGAAATACCCAAAACACCAGCCTATCGCTGCTTAAAGCAATGCGATGGCATTCTGGTTGGTGCTGAGGCGGTACAGCCCTAACACTTATGGGGTATTATTTGGCCTCGGCAATTATACGCGGCCTGTAAATATAATTTAAATAAATTTGAATATCCTGATATATACAGTTTTAAATATTGAATTATATATACAATTATATATATAAATATATACGTTTTAATATTGAATTGCATCATTGCATTTTATTAATTGCAGCCAGAGTGGGTCGTCAATTTATTTATGCTGTTAGCCGTCCAGAGACGTTAGTAATTGGACAGCATACAAATTTTATAAATAAATAAATACACTTTAGGAGGGGCATAGAAAAATTTCAGAATAGAGAAAATCTATTCTGCTACCTTCAGGCCTGCAGCGTATGGCTCATTTGTACAATTTTGCAAACACCACCGTTCCTTTTATTCCTTCTTCCTTAAATCTTCCTCTTTTCCATCATCTTCCAAGCAAAAGATAAGCAAAAGATAATAAATTTCCAGCAGATGCTTTTTCTTCACTGTCTTATTAAAGTCTCTAGGAGAAGCATCTAAACATGGACTGGACCAAATACTTCGACTTGTGGTGCAATTAGGGGAAGCCCGTAAGCAAATCCAGCAAAGGGAGAGATTCTGGGGTAGCAAACAACTCTAGCTACCCTTTTAAACTTTGTCAAATTATAATTTTATTTTATTCGTCTTTAATTCCATGTAATATCTTTTGGAACCCTACTTGGCCACTCATGTTTATATTCTGAGTTCTGGCCAGAATCTTAAAAATATAGTATCTCTTTTATATACAAATATGTCTGCTATTCCTTTTCATGTACAAATTGAAAATGGTGTCCCCTTTATCATTGCAGGTGTAGTCTATGGACAGTCAAATTTTTTGTTTTTTGGTGAATTCCAGTTTTTAAGTGCCTCAGGGGCCGCTTTTGATATTGGTCCAGGGGAGACCAGAGAACAGATGCAATTCCTACCCATTTGACCTTTTTGTACCAAGCGCAGGTCTGAGTAAATCTACTCCAGAGTAAGGCCTGGTGATCTTAGTCTACTCCAGAGTAAGGCCCAGTGCTCGTGCTTGCAAATGCACATCTGTGCAAACCAAATTGCCTTTAAATATTTTTTCATTTCCAATCCCGACAGGAAATAACAGCAAAAGAGGCTTATTCACAGGATGGAGAAACCTCCAGAAGCACCACAGAAGAAGTCTGTCTCATGGGCTTCCATTCTACCAGAGTCTTAGACAAGTTAAGGATCCCTCCTGAGAAACAGAGGGCCTTCACAGCTTCACACAATTTGTCAAAGGACAGGAAGTTGCCATTGTTTTGTGCTGTCAAGTCGTCTCTGACTTAGGCAACCCCATGAACCGCTCTCCAAAACGTCCTGTCTGGGACAGCCTGCTCAGCAATCCTAAATTCCAGCTGTGACTTCCTTTATGGATTCGATCCATCTCATATTTGGTTTTCCTCCTCCTCTTCTGCCTTCGACCTTCCCTGACGGGATGGTCTCCTCCAGGAAGCCTGGCCTTCTCAGGACGTGCCCAAAGTATCACAGCCTCGGTTTTGCCATTTTTGCTTCTAGGGAAGGGTCTGAATTGATCCATGACCCGCATTTTTGTCCTTCTGGCAGTCCAGGGTCCAAAGCTCTCCTCCAGCTCCATGTTTCGAATGCATCCATTTTCTTCCTGCTAACTTTCTTCGCTGTCCAGCTTTCACACCCATACAGTGCTGTGACTGATCTCAGCCTTGGTCTCCAGGGAATTTTATTATTTTTTTCCTAGTTCCTTCATTGTTGCCCTTCCCAGTCTCAGTTTTCTTCGAATTCCTTGGTCCCTTTGAATGGATGACTGAGACAAGTTGCACAAACTCTTTCACAATTTTGATTTCTTCATTGTTGGCAATAAAGCTCTTTAATTCTGCAGTCAGGAGTTTCGTTTTCTTAATGCTCAGCTGTCGTGAGCATTAAGGGAGCATGACTTAATGCATGTCATGAGTGGAGCCGGCTGGAGCTGGGGGTCAGACTAGATGACCCGGGAGACCCCTTCTGACTCGCTCTGTTTCTATGTTAGCTGATGTCCTGCTTTTGTACTTTCCTCTTTCACTTCCATCAGGAGTCATTTCAGTTCATGTATTGATGCTGTATTTTCCATGGGTGATTGATATTATATTTTATTTCCATTTCTTATCAATAATTCCCAACCTAAGGGCATAGGATGGTGGGAAAAGGGGAACACACTAGCAGTCATCTGAACTAAATTGCAGTGTGTCAGAATGGCCCATTCTTTAATTTAGAGCACAGTTAAATTCATGTTTAGACAGAAAGAAAGTCCTTCAACCCACAGAAAGGTGGGATTTGTTTCTTGTGTCTCACCTAGCGTAGGACTGTCTCTTGGATCACTCACCTGGAAGTCACTGCAGTTCAGCCAGGATTCAAAATTACTATTTGCCTATAAATTAAAAATGCCGACGAGGAAAATTTCAAACAAAAATTTGCTTGTCTTTTTAGCCCACACGTCAGCCTCACCTTTTTCAGTTTGGGGAAAGCTGTTTCATGAGACTCTCTCTCTCTCTCTCTCCCTCCCTGATTCTGTGTTTGTGTCTGTGCTTTTAAGAAACTCCAAGTGGCCAGGTGACAGAAGGATATGAGATAGTTTTAAAATTCCTCAGAATTAAGGTGCCTGGCCTTGCTGTTCTTGTGGCTACCGCTGCAGCTGAACCCTCACCAAAAATGCCCCTGGACCACCTGAGCAAACACCTGCCCAAATCTGACCGGCAACTCAGTCTGGGGGCTTTTGCAGGTCAGATGAGGTGCTTTCTCTTTCCGATAACGACGTGCCATTAATCTGCTGGTCTTCTCAACACAGTGAGAACACGCCTGTCGGCAGAGCAGTCCTGAGGTCCTACCTGGGCCACTTCCCGCCCCCCCTGCCTCTCCTGCTCTGGATCGGCCTCCATGCCGGGGGTCAGGTGTTCCTGTTTCCTCCCGATCAGCCCATCACTGAGGCCAGCGTCCTAGCTTGGATCGAGCACCTGGAAACCGGCCGGACTGTTCCAAGAGGTAAGCGACCAGTGGCCTAATGGATAAGGCATCAGCCTCCGGAGCGGGGGACTGTGGGTTTGAGTCCCATCTGGGTCATTCCTTGTTCTTATTCCAGCGTGGAATAGTCAATTCATCTATTTTATTCTGATTCATAAGCCGTCCAGAGACGCAAGTAATGGACGGCATACAAATTTTATAAATAAATAAATAAAATAAGCGTGCAACGAGGCCCCTCCACCAGAGTCCCTTGCTCTCTCGCTCTGCTTACGTGCAAAGTTTTTGACACCGTGCGGGTCAAGCTGAGCCGGAGAAATGGAAACAGCACGGCAAGATGAGATGTCCTGCATTTCCACAGGCTGGGCTGGTCCTTTGGTGGGACACTGTTTGTAGGATCTGAGTAAATTTTCTCCTGATTGCTTCCTGCGTTTGCTTATTCTTTTGCATGCTGAGAACTCGGCTGTTCTTAGGACAAGTTACACTCTTGATGGGAAAGGTTGACTCCAGATCCACCACTAAAAAGATGCTTTACGGGTCGGAACAAGAGTTAAAAATCGCCGTGTTGAGCAGTGCCCCTTTTGGCTGCTCTAGGGCTGGTGGGGTGCCTTGCTTATTCTCAGGCTTCTCGGCTTGGGATCTTTAAAACAAACCAATTTGTGGGCTCACAAATCAGACCACAATAAAGGGCCCGATCCTAGGTACATTTGGATGGAGAAGAAAGGGCTTCAGGTCCCAGCTTACCTCAGTGAGCCGTGGGCATGCTGGGTGTGGTAGGCCTTTTTGCCCTCTCCGTGTGCTTGGGGTGGCTTATTCACCCTGCTTGTCTTTGGAAGGCCGCAAGGTGCTCTCGGTTTAACTGCAACAGCTCTCCTGACTCTGCACGCCCCGAGGAAGCCTCCTGAACACCTCGTTCGCCCAGTGAGAGAACAGGTCCATCGGAGGGAGTCCTGAGTCCTTCAGGCTTGCACAGAATAAAGTTTGCTCTGCTGCAGGAGTGATGACACCTGTTCAGCCCAAGAGCCAAATCCCACCTGGGAGGAGCTCCTGGGGGCCACGTGCACGGGGAGCAGGGCTGAATGCAAGGCCAGCGTGGCCAGGATGAGGGGAAGCCACCCGCAGCTTTTACCTTCAGGTTCCTACTGCCAGTGACTCAGCCTTGGTTAGACGGTGGGGGGGACTGATGGGGCCCCACCAAACGGCTGTGGGTGGAGGAAAGACGCACGGCCCCCGGGGGTGTCCCAAGGGCCCAGATCTGGCCTCTGGGCTCAGGCTTCTGCAGCCTGGCTTTACAGCCATGGCAGGGGACACGTGGTGCTCCAACGCTGGACAGCAAGTCCCATCAGCCCTGGCCGGCAGAGCCCACAGTGAGGGGAACTGCATTCTGGCAGCTCTGGAAGGTCCACACAATTGAACCACCAGGGGGCGGTAGAACTTCACCCGCTTTCTCTCCGCAAAGGAAAAGCCTGGACCAAGCTCAGCCTTTGCAAGCCGGCCGGTCCGGCTCCTTTAGTTACGGTGGCCAGAACTGGGACCAGGCGTGGCTGCTTCCGTCTCTGCCGCTTTTTGACAGGCCAAATAGATGCTCTGCATTCCACCCAGGTCTGTGGGCCTTCCTTGCAAGTGGCGTCTATCTGTTTAGTGGTGAAAGCCATCCTTTTAGGAAGACATCGGTGCGCACCTTAATCAGCCTCGATTTTGAGAAACGTTCTAGTTAGATCGACTGCTTTCGCATGGCAGTTTTCTGCTGCTGCTTGTTTGGCCTTTGCTTTGCTTTGCTTTGCTTTGCTTTGCTTTGCTTTGCTTTGCTTTGCTTTGCTTTGCTGGGATTTTGAATTGTCGCAGGCTGCCTAGAACCCCTTGGAGACAAGAGAATGTGCGTCTGCCGGCCAGCTCCGTAGCTCCAAGACCATCAAACCTAAAACTTGGCTGGGCACTTTGTGCTGATGCCGTTTGAAGCCCTGGGAGAGTTGTAGGTGGAGGGAGAGAACCGTAGGCCTGCCTCCCCCCCATAGATGGGGGGTGCCCTCCTCAGGGAGATGGGGTGAGTGCAGAGTCCGTGTCAGGGCTGCGAGGGGCACCATGGCAGGGCCATGCCAAGAGTGCCAAGGGGCATGGCTTTGCCCGGGCGGGTTCGGCCAGTGTGTCTGCCATCCAGCCAGCCCCAGTGGGATCGACGGTGCTGAGCTGGATGGGCTCTTGCTCGGCTCCAGGAGACCTTTTCCCAATGGTCCTTGGAGGTCTCTTGTCCAAATGGCAAGTGGCCCAGTGACTCGTCGACAGCAAGCCGAAGGTGAGCCGGCAGAGTGATGCCGTCCTTGGAATGCATCCTTGGAAGCGAGGCTTCCGGATCCAGGGAGGTGTTGATTCTGCTCTACACGACTCTGGTGCACCCACAGCTGGAGTAACACGACCCGTTCTGGGCTCCACATTACAGGAGAGACAGAGCTAGGTTGGAATCGGCTCAGCGCAGGGGCACAGGAGTGGAAGCCGGGTTGGGAGGGATGGCATAGGAGGAGAGATGGGGGGAACGGGGTCTTTTTGGCCTGGGGAAGGGGAGACTCCGAGGGGATCTTCTAGCAACGTATAGGTTTGTGAGGGGATGCCATCTGGAGGAGGACTGTGAGCTGTTCTTTCCTGCAATGGAGGACAGGATGCATTCCAATGGAGCAAAGCTCAGGGAACCAGGCTGCAGGTTGGATGCCAGGAAGCACTTCCTGACAGTTGGGACCCTTCAGACATGGAATGGGCTTTCTAGGGAGGTGGTTGGGGCCCCATCATGAGGGCGTCCAAGGAAAGATTGGATAAGCACCTGTTGGGGATTGCATGAGCAGAGGCGGCTGGAGCTGGGGGGTCAGACTAGATGGCCCGGGAGGCCCCCTCTGACTCGCTCTGTTTCTGTGCTGGTCAATGTGTTCTCCTCCTCCAGCCACCTTGACTGATGAAGACTGGAAGCCCCGTCTTCCTGCCTATGACTTCCTGAGCGTGATGGCTCCTCCCCTGCCTGAGTTTACCATTTACAGCCAGGGGAGCGTCCGGGTCCCCCCAGCAGCCGTGGCAGAGGCCCCCGGAGGAAGGGAGGCGGCGGTCGGAAAGGAGCCCGCGAGCGAGTCTCCCACGGCGGAGCAGGAGAAGGCAGAGCCGACGGGCGGGGACTTGCGGGGAACAGCTCCACGCTTGGCAGCCCGGGAGAAGCAGGCTAAGCGCCACGCAGAATTGTGAGGCTGCCCGGGAGCCGCGGAGCCGGGACAGGCCCGGGAAGCCGAGGCGGGCGGAGGTGAGGTCTTCCGCGTCCCCCACGGCGCTCCCCACCGCCTTTGCGCCAGCACGGACTTGAGTATGGCTGGCTGGCCGGTCGGCCGATGCGCAGAGGCACCCCAGGCCAGCCCTGGCTCTCCAGAGGGAAAGGGCCGAGGCGAGGCCCGTGGACTGCCCAAGGCCAGGAGGGGCCCGGCACCTGCGGTCCGAGTTGCCCCTGGGTGCAGCGTGGCGTCGTCTGAGCCGCTCCTGCAACTCCCTCAGCGAGGGGAGGGTCACGGCCGCGTCGTGTGTGTTCTGGGTCCCCTCTCCATCTTACAGCCCCGGCCTGTGTGCCCTCCAGCGCCGAAGCCTCGGCTCCAGGATTTCTGGGAGCAACCGGTGCGGTGGGTCCAGCAGTCCTTCGTGGAGGCCGGGAGAAGGCAGTGGCCATCTGGCCAGGTTCTGGCGCCCCGCTCCGGTGGGAGCTCGGCTGTCTCAAGAAGGCCGGTTGGAGGGCAAGCCGACTCGTCTTCGACCTCCCCTGCCCCACCAGATGGGGGGGGGGGCAAGGGCCAAGGGCTGTATCGGCTCTCGGAGGGATCCTGCCACATCTGATGGGGAGGAGGGTGCTCCTGGGGCGTCAGTGCTGTGAACGGTCATCTTCCGCTCTGCCTCTGCACGTGTGCCAATGCACGAAACGCCAGCCGGCTCCCGCGGCGGCTTTTTGAAGCAACTGTCCCGGGAAAGTGCTGGAACAGCTAAAAAAGGGTCCCCGCAGCTAAAAAAGTGGGGGACGTTCCCGTTCCCTTCCCGTTCTGCCCAAGGGCTGAGGGGACATGTTGCCCCCCGCTCCGTTGCCCAGCCCTGACTTTGCCCTGAGGCTGGGAGGGCCACAGCATTCCTGGCCAGATTCCCGAAGGAATCTGCTCCCGAGGTGCCGCTGAGGGTGGGATGCGAACAAGCTGCCCGCACTGCCCTTCTCGATCTTCTCGTGCCGAATTCTAGCCATCACTTTGTTCTGAAATATTTATCGATTAGCAAATAGAAGGAAATCTGCACTCACACGGTTCGGTTCGGGCTCTGTCCGCCCTCCCCTTTCCCCAGAAGCGCCGGCACAGAAGCTGGGAGCTCATTAATGTGCCCTGCCCTCCTCCGGGGATGATTAAGACCCGTTTTGCTGCGCTCGCCGGGCGCCCCGCCTCCTGTTGCGATGGAAATTGGCAAGTCCGCGGGGAGCCGCTTCCTCTGCCTGGGCCTCGAGTGCCACCCGCCTTGGGTGGCAGCCTTCAAATATGGGGCACCAGGAATGTATGGCACCCCACCCTAGGAGCGCCCCGAGTTGCTGGAAGGTGGGGGCACCTGCAGAGAGAGAGAGGCCAGGGCTAAACTGTACGGTGTAAGCTTCGTGCCCTGCTTCTGCCCCCCCACCCGCCCCCCATAGGCACAGGTAGCCCCACCGAGAAGGACTTAGCTCTGCTCTGATCCACACGGTTCCTCGTCTGTCTTCCACCCAACTCGATTTCAGCCAGTTCCTCCATCTCTTGTCCTTCGTTTATGCCGCTTTGACTCAGAGCTTTCTGCACGAGGCCTTTACCCTGCCCTTGTCATTCCCACTCAGAGTTGTTTAACAATTCTTCAGATGGCATTGCCTTGCTCCAATTTCACTTCTGGTTTTAAATAGCACTTTCTGTGAGGTTTTTTGTTTTTTAAAGCAGGGGAAATGGCATATTTTCTGGAACGTGAATGGGCTTCCACGAGAGGTCGTTGAGGCCCCATCCGTGAGGGTGTTCAAAGATAGGCTGGACATGCACACGGTGGGTATGTCGTGAGTGGAGCTGGCTGGAGCCGGGGGTCAGACTAGATGGCCCAGGAGACCCCTTCTGACTCGCTCTGTTTCTATGCGAAAGAAGGCATGATTTCCTCTTGAGTATTTGCACTATCATACCAGGTCACAGCGCCACCATGAGGTTATGTGGTGCAAAAACAGGAAAGGAAGTGTTTTTTGGGTGGAGCTGTGATCTCAAACTTTGACCAACCTGAAAGTAGACCCAAGATTAAGTCTCATGTTGAAAAACTCTTAGCCACTTGGTTTCCTTCGCATTATGCCTCTCCTGTCGCTACCTAAGGCTGGATGCAGGGAGTGTCCAATTTCGCCCTTTCACGGGCCACAGGAAATTATGGTGAAACAGTGCCTCTGCCAAGCGAGGGAAGGAAGGCAGAGAAGAGACGTGGGGAAAATAGCCACAGAGTTCACGGTTTTTGCAAGCTCTGCGCCCGCCGTGATGTGAGAAGAGCTTGCAGAAGGGTCCCTGCCTGCCTCTCCGTGTTGCTCTGGCCACTCGCTGCAAGCGCACTGCCCTTCCCAGCACAGAACCGTCCGAGTCTTACAGATAATGGCTTTGGCAGCTCAATAGACATGTGGCTTCTGATGAATCAGCTGGAGAGATGCCACGCCAAGGGTCTGAATCGTTCCCGGGAAGATCCCTGCTTGCATTCATCTGCTGCTCATTAATGTTGATCTTGGAGGGTGGCATTAAACGCACGGATATGTTCGGGATCTTCCCGATTGACGGAATGGGCTTTTAAGAACTCGTGGCAGGAGATAATTCCCAGTACAAACAATGCTGGGTTTATCATCATTTTTATCTGAGAACGCTAGCTTTGCTGGCATGCATCCCGGCTGGGAAGGTTCCCACCCCTTTCCCCCTGCAGCAGTCCCAGAAATCTCTCCGGGGGAGCCCCTCTGAGCAGGGGGCTGGCTTGGTGGGGCTGCAAAGGACCAGAGGATGGGAAATGTCCCTCTCCCAAACAGCCTCGAGTTACGATTGGAGCAAAGCCATTTGCCCTTTTGGGAAGCTGCTTTCCGGCAGCCCCTGAGCACAGCTCGTGGTCATGGGATAAGGGAGGAGACCTTCTTCGGGGTTCATAACTGGGAGGACTGGGCTGGCAGTTCTCACAGTGGGAGAAGGGACCTCACCCGACAAAGGGCTAAATTGGACTGGGACTTTTTATCTTGGCCACAAAGGAGCTGGATCAATGGGTGAGCAGGGGGGTGCAGTCTTTTGGCAACCCAGAATTATTTAGAAACAGGGAGTCAGAAGGGGTCTCCCAGGCCATCTAGTCTGACCCCTGGCATCCGCCGGCTCCGCTCACGACCCCCAGGCATGCACGAGAGGTGGAGGGCTTTGGTGGGAGTGGCGGCTCAGACTCGGAGGAGGGCGAGTGGAGGGCTGGCCCAGCCGTGGCTCGGAGTTCTCACTCTGATGTTGGAGCTGTGGAGAAGAGCGAGGCCCCGGCCGCCCAAACTCTCCCGGCGAGCCGGCCGAGCCAGCGCTGGATCCAAGCATTTCGAGGACAACCACTGAGCCCCCTCCCACTCCTAGTAGTGGGAAAGAAGCCGGCAGAGAACAGGCTGGGGAGGGGCTCTCGGGAGGAGAGCTTGACACCCCAGGAGACATGGGTGCGAGGGCCGGTGGATGCACCTGCCGGCTGGACCAATTGGGGGCTCAGTGGGACGAGCGTCGGCGGGCCCGCTTCCATAGCGCCCCCTCCAGAGACCGGCCCCGAAGGGTCGTAAGCAGGGCTTGGGGTGACGGGGGCAGAGGGGTCACCTTTCCACCTGGAGTGCCTGTTTCGAGGCTTGCGAAGACGTTTCTGCATGGAACAACGACTCTTTCGATCGTTGCTGAAGTGCCTGTCTTGTTTGGGAGGGGGTGCCCAACTCACGGCAGTGACAAGCCCACCAAGTGCATGTCCAGCCTATCCTTGAACAGCCTCACCGTTGGGGCTTCAACCACCTCCCGGGGAAGCCCATCCCATACCCTTGGGGTGCTAGGGTAGTGGTGTAGAGTGGTTAAAGAGCTCCATGACGCAGGAGAATGGGCATCAAATTGGCAAATGTGATTCTGTTTAAGTGACCCTGGTTTCCCATATGACACACTTCAAATATTGCATGCAGTTCTGGTCACCACACCTCAGAGGGTCCTGGAGAACTGGGGCAGAAGGGGGCTGAAGCAACCCGTATGAGGAAAGATTACAAGATTTGCAACTCTCTAGCTCAGGTGGCAAAAGGCAAGTATGTAGAGACACGAAGGAAGTGTACAAAGGATGCACCACATGTCGGAAGCCGGTCCCACAAGGTTTCGCTCTCACTGCCCTAAAACGAGGTCAATAGACTGGAATTGAATAGCAGAAGATTCAGGATGAACTGAAGAATTTCTTCCTGCAACGCACAGTTAAACTGAGATTTGCCTCCTTGGGATGTAGCGTCGGCAGCCAAAATGTATGGCTTGAGAGGAGACGGGTCGCAGCCATGGGGGCAGGGCTACCTACCCCCTGCTACTGGCCTGGACGGCTACGTGCGGCTTCCGAGATTAACGGCAACACACGCTGCTGCACACCTGCTGCATTTGTAGGTTTCCCATGTGCTTGGCCTTGGCAGGAGCAGAATGCTGGGCTGGGTGGTCCTTTGGTCTGCTCTAGCAGACATTTGGTTATGCTCCTCTGCCACCCTGGTCTCCAGATCTCCTCTTCTGGCTTTGACATGGCCTGGTCACAGACGATGACCGCAAGCATTCCAAGCTCGACAGCCGAGACTGGTTTAAAAGAAGAGGGGTTGGAATCTATTACTGAAAGGCCAAGATTAGCCAGCGAGATGAGCCGCGTGGCTGGGACAGAACCAGACAGCCTCTGGGTCAGGGAGAGACTGTAGAACAAGAGGTTGGAGAGAAAGGGCTGCGAATTCATTAACCCAGTGGGTCATTGAAAAGCTGGACAAGTTGATGCAATGCCCGGCATTCCCATGCTCTGGCCCACAAGCAGCATGAGTTTCCCTGAGGGTGGAGCCAAGCCGTTTTGGAGCAAAAGGAGGAGAGAGCTTCAGTTGGGAACCAAGTCCTGCCACAGGCAAGAGTGAATCCCACCAATCAGAAGGATCACTAAGAGAGATGCTTCTTGCTGGCGAAGTTACTGTGCATCCTGTT